ACGAGGACTTGGGTCACAGGGGAGAAGCGGAGACCAGAAAACGAGTGCGGACTCGGTTCTGGTGGCCAGGTTTGGGACGTGCGGTCAAGGACTGGGTGCGGAGTTGCGAGGAGTGTCAGCGGCGGAGCTCCTATCTGCAGAAGGAGATCGGCATTCCGACTGGAGAGGATACGCTGTTCAGTCGCGTGTCGGTGGACGTCTGTCACATCAAGGCGGGGAAGTTCAAGTACTTGCTTGTGGCTAGGGACGACTTGTCCGGATGGGCAGAAGCGCGCCCGCTGGTGAAGTTGACTTCGGAGAAGGTGTGTCAGTTTTTCGAGGAGGATTGGTTCTCGAGATACGGCTCTATTCGTTTGGTCACAGTAGACGGCGGCGCGGAGTTCAAAGGGCGGCTGAAGGAGCTTGTGGAGTCCTGCGGAGCTAAGTTCGGGAGAGTGACGGAGTATTACCCGGAGGGCGCAGGAGTCATCGAGCGAGGCCATCAGCTTTTGAAGAACGCGTTGGCCAAACTTTGTGGCGAAGATGGGCGGAAGTGGCAACAGTTCTTGCCGACGGTTCTGTTCGCGGATCGCATTTCGACTAAGCGTGGTACGGGCTGCTCTCCGTATGAGCTGTTGTTTGGCTCTCGACCGGTGCTGCCGGTGGACATCGAACTGCTGACGTTTCTTGGGATCGACTGGTGGAAGGTGAAGTCGGCTGAGGATCTCGTCGAGGCTCGCGCTGAGCAGCTATTGCGGAGGGAATCCCTTATCGCTAAGGCGGCTAAGCGGTTGAAGGAGAGTAGGGCGAAGTCCGTTCGCTACTGGGATCGGAGGTGCGCGAGCCGGCTCAGGGATTCGTTGCGGAAGGGTGACCTCGTGCTGCTCTACAACCGGAGTCTGGAATCTCAGTGGGGCAAGTTGTTTTCTAACCAATGGAACGGCCCGTATAGGGTGGTCAGCCAGTTCCCCGGCGGCAGCTATCAGCTGGAGGAGTTGGACGGCACATGGCTGAAACGACGGGCGGCCGCGGCTCACGTCAAGCGGTTCTACGCTAGGGGTTCCACGTCTTTTGATGAGACGGCGGACACGGACGACGAAGAAGAAGTGGTGAAGATGCCGAAGCAGAAGGGCACTTCAGATGATGAGTCCGACGCGGCGGGAGAGGAAGGTGACGATGCCTCGGCGGCGGACTCGGAGTCTGGGAGTGGTTCTGAAGCGGAGGAGGAGGACGAGGCCTCGGAGCAACCGACGCCGGCGGTTCCGCAACCTCGGCGGAGTAAGAGGCTGAAGGGGACCACTGGGGACAGCGGCCAAGGTCTGGGGCGGAGAGGAGGAGTTAGCGGTAAACGCTAAGCATTTATTGGTGAGGGGGTGCGCTAGCTGGTCTACAGCCGGGTAAACTAGCCACCCCAGGATGTCAGTTACCCTATAGAGATTGCTTTCTGTTTTGTTATCACGTTTCACTGGCTTGTTTTGTGTATTTGTTTGCAGGAGAGGTTCGGGGATTTTGTGAGGAAATCCTTCTGGGGCGGACCAGGTACCTTGTGGATCGGAGTGGTTTCTCTAGTTTTAAGCGGTTTGGTTTCTTTCAAAAAAAAAAAAAAAAAAAAAAAAAAAAAAAAAAAAAAAGAATAAAAAGAATAAGTGCGGGGACTTGAGTGGTTCTCTTTCTGGGGCGGACCAGGCACTTGGGGAAGACTTCCTTGGCGTAACCCTTTGGACACGCAAACTCAAGTATAACAGACTGTATTTCAAGCAGAATTACTTAGACTATGTACAAGAGAGCAGCGGGGAGGAAGGAGGGAAACACTAGGAGGAGCCGGAACCAGGAGCGGGATCGTCGCCATTTCCGTCGGGGTAATTGGCTGAGCGAGAGTTGAAGACGGCCATGACTTGAAGGCGGTGGCGGCGGAGGTCGCGGAGGTCGGAGAGGAAGGCCGCATAGGTGGAGCGGCGGAGTGCAGGAGGGAGAACGGAGGCGCTGAGGATCGTCTCGAACCGGCCTTGGATGTCTTCAATGACGGCTTCGACCACGGTCGCAGGGATAGCGTCGAACGCGCTTTCGTCTTCGTCGGGAAAGAGCTCCCGGAGGGCGGAGTCGTCTGAGTCGGACGGGTATCTAGGGTTAGGAACTAAGAGAGGAGGCGTAAGCGGGGAAGGATCACAAATCAGCGAGGAATGCACTTACGACGGAAGTGGCGAGAGGCAGGGAAGGGGTTGGTGCGGGTGGGCGCGAACGGGGGGTTGTTTACTACCGGACGAGGAGTAATCGCGCGGGAGTGACCTGAACCTGGAACCTCAGAAGGCCCTCGCTCGGCAGGCCGGGGAGTGTGTAAGAAGTTGAGGTGTGGAGGGGGAGACGAGTCTGGAGTGGTGCGTTCGGGAGCGTCGCCGACGGAAGGAGGTGGAGTAGGACGGAGGTCTTCCAGCTCGGGGTCGATACGCATCGGATTGTCAGGCGGAGACCGGTGAACTGGAGATCGATCCATCGGCGTTGGCGGGCCCGAGGATATCACAATCGGTTCGATATCAATGGTGGTATCGGCTGTAGCTGGGGATCGGACCGGTGTCGGGGAACCCGCGCGCTCAGGAGTGGGTTGTCGGGGCACCATCTGGAGGTCGGCAGCCGGTGCCGAAGGAGGAACGGGAGAGTCCGATATCCTACGGGGAGAGCGGCGAAGGGGAGAATGGCGAGGAGAGCCCCGGAGAGGAGAGCCACGACGTGGGCTAGAGACTGGACGACGTAATCGCTCGTCGTAGAACGGTTGGGTCACATGGTGTCGGCTGGCCCAGCTGCGAAGAGCGGCCCGATACTCGGGGCGGGACGAGAAATCGGACTCGTGAGGTCGCGGCGTCATTCGGTCGGAGCCAGCGGGGGACTCAGGGGAGGATTGTGGAGGTTGAGGAGGTGGTGATGGGGGGCGAGAAGAGGGCGTAGGGGAAGCTGCAGAGACGCTAGCTGAGTCGGGCACGACGAAATTGTCCAAAGAGTTTCCGCGGGTAGCGGTCCGAGGACGCTTGGGAGGACGAGGACGACCGTGGGAATTAGGACTGTTAGCGCGGGTGCGGCGACGAGATCGGTCGGACGGATGCTGGACTAGAGAGCAGCGGCGTTTGGCTTTGCGACAGAAGTCACACGCATGGTTCGAGGACTCGCGGATGCACGTAGCGTTGCGGCTTTGACAGTTGGAGCAGGTGGACATGGTGGGAAGATGGGGGAATGGGAAGGAAGTTGGGGAGAAGAGGATCCTGGGGACAGGATTTTAAGCGTTGGGGGGATGTGGTGGCGGGAGCGCGCCTTGGCCAAAGCTTTGGCCGGTTTGTTTGGGGCGTGCGGAATGCTCGCGGCGCTGATGCGGAAAGCACGCGGAGCTGACGCTACACAAGCAGGCTGAGGAAAGCGGCCGTGCATTAGTGGAAAGTCTAGCTTTCCGAGGCGCGGGAAAGCGGAGAAAGGTAGACCGAATGCACAAGGTTCTGAAAAGCTTACTGCGGGGAATTCGGGCATCGGCGGACGCCGGGGATCACGGCCGACTGCGGAACGGGGGTTCAGTGTATACTGCGGAGAGGCTACAAAGAGCGGGGAGCACCGAGGGGCAGAAGCGGGGTTCGGAGCGGACCAGAGGCGGAAGCGGCGGTGGGAGACCTACTAGGAGCGGCCGGAGGAGTACTTGGACCGACAGGCGTCGGAGGGGTGACATGCGGAGTCCGAGGGGGTGACAGCGGATGACATCGCGGGAAGTAGGAAGGGACTGAAGTGTGGGATACCGAGGAGGAGAGGAGTTCGAGGCAGAAGAGGAGAGAGAGGGGGGAGAGGGAGGACGGGGGAACATATCAGAAAAACAGAGTGACTTAGGAGTGAATCGTGTATTAGCCTAAAGAATTGTTAGAGATAGAATAGAGTTAGAGTATTACCTACAAAAGATCAATAGAAGAGAACTAGTTTACCTACCTACAAGACCATCAAGCAAGTTACCCCGGACAACAAAACCGGAGTAGGACGCGTTGCGGAGCGGAGAAGTGCAAGAAAACTCCTAGGGCGCGCCTTTCTTTCCACACCGCTGGCGGGTATCCGTTGGCACTGGCGGGTATCCGCCAGCGGATAACGGATATCCGCAACGGATTATCCGCGACCATCTCTAAGGTAAGCTTGGCAGTTTGGTTGGTGATAATGGATTATGTTCAAAGATGGTTGTATAATTGTTGAAGGTTGATCTTGTTGTCCAAAGAATTGATTGAGTTGTTGATGTTGTTTCTCGTCTTGATGTCTTGATACTTGTGTTCTTCCTTGATGCTGTATATGTATAATGTAATAGAGGTGGTTCTTGAACCCAAAGGGTCTGGGAGCACCATGCTTCAACCAGGATTGGAACAAAGGTCTGGTTCTTCTGTGTAATGTTTGTGAAACTGTGTATATATTTCAACTGTGAACTGTACTACTTGTGAACCTCTTGTGTAATAAATATCTGTGACAGGTGTCCCACCAAAAATGTGTACTGAGTGGGATGAGGAGGGAAACAACTGGCAGGCAGAGGCCTCCTTATATAGTAAAATATGAGGGATTTTAGCCCCAAGGGACCCCCTGTATGAGGAATTTTAGCTGCCCTATCCTTGAAAATCCTGAGGGATTTTGGCTAGACTATCTTCAACGCATTCCTTTTATATGTAAGCTGTAAGAAAGGAATTCATGTGTTCTGTGGCTGAATAAATGGGAATTTAACTGGTACAACTGGTGGCCAACTTGTGGTTCTGTAAGTATAAAAGGAATTCAATATGGATAAAAGGAATTCAATACACAATATACCCTCCAGCTGAGTGCCTCTGATCCTGTGATTCTCCGTGTGACATCCTTGATTCTGCATAACTTCTGATCCAGTAGAGATATGAAGGTGGTTCCAGTGAGTGACTAGGGGTTAAATTGGCCATAGATTCCATTTCTGACATCCATTTGTCCATATCTTGAGTCCTTCATTGATAAATAATAAAATTTTGCATTTTCTCCCTTCATACACAGGAATAATGACCACACCGATCTTTCTAAATAGTGGTGGAGATGACGACCAGGGCGGACACTCGCACATTGATGAGGATACAAACAATCATTCCCAGCGTAGGTTATACCCACAGTAACTTGGGAAGACACATCTCCAAAGGCTGAAAAAAGTCAATCTGGGCCAAGACTATACTAAGAGCACGGATCTCATTGTTTCCACTCCAAAAGACTCAGTCAATTCCAATGAAGAAGGTAACACAGGAGACTTGGTCGGTTCTGCCAACCGGTCGGATCAAGGAATGATTAAGCCTCCTCAACACATAAAAACAGAAGACAGAATGGTGTAAGTTTCTTGAAATATTGTAGAATATTGGAACCTAAACTGACCTGTCGATATAACCTGATCATTACAGAACATTCAAATACTTTATTACTACATTGAAGCATGTCTTCAACTTAGATAATGATAAGTTATTGGCCCAGTTGAATACTTGGTTGAAGTAGGTTTCCATGAAACCTTTGCAGTAGTTGAGAAAATTTACTTTGATCAATTGATGTCATGCTTTTCCTGTTTTGGTTTGGGTTATGTCCATGGTGCTAATCAACTGAACAGAGTATCTTTGGGTCAAAATAAAAACACTGGTCCATTATTTAACCTCTCAGATATGATCCATCATACCTTGGAGTTTATGGGAGTATCTTCAGAGTGAGTTTTTCACTTTCATCAGTTTTCTGAAATTATGGTCCTGGATTGAATTAAATGGGTGTTCTTCAAGCCGGGAAGGATTTTTGAAGTTGTATGAAGGAAAATCTGAAATGGAGATCAAGAGACATTTGATGGGGAAGTTTGACTATATGTGTGTTCAGATTTGACATTTCTGTAATTAACACTGCCAACATAATTGAACGGGTTGAGGGTATCCCATTTTAACTGGGATGCACAAAACCAATTTAAATTTGGAACCAATGAGATCCAAGGTAGGGTACCTTGGATTTATATTTCATTGGTTGAGATGCAACCAATTTTAACTTGGTTAAGTGCATCCTAGTTTAACTGGGATACCCTAAACCTAGCCAATTATTCTGGCAGTGTAACAAAATGCTCCTGCACTGATTTGCCTTTGGAGTGTCCCTTTTGAGAAAAAAAGCACCCTGGAGGAAGGTATTGAAATTTACCATCCAGGAGCCTCAAAGGAACAGAAGCATTCAATAAAAGTGTTTTTATTGGGTCCAAAGGCAGTTGATGGAAGAACATCCTTAGCAGCGGATCATGAATATTGGTCTCCTCAAGATCTTCAACACTTACTTAGACATTGGAACCGTGTCTCAGGCCCAGGTGAGTGTCCAGGTTTCTCAAATTGACCAATTTGAATTTGATCAAAAAACATCTTTGGCTGAAATTTACTCCATTTAAAACTAAAAAAATTGATTGAAAAAAAGGAAAAAATCCTACATGGGTGTAAGCTTCTTTAATGTCATTAAAGATTATGCAATCAAATATTATTAAGTTGGGACCAGGAGGATCATTCTGATTTCAAAAGTTTAACATTTAAGTTCATGGAGAGAATTCAACACTCAGCTTGTAGACAAGCATTTTGGCTTTGAACCTGAATTACTAAATCACTTGACCAATTACCTGAAGTGAGTCTCATTTGGAGTCAAAATTAATGTTTCATTTGTATAGCTTCTACAACTGACATAATATCTAGAAACTTGATGCTTTGGGACATTGGTAATGATGATGAAAAGATTCCACTGGAAGAACTAATCCATTACACAATACTTTGGGCTGAGGATAATAATGTGTAATTTTATTTTCTTGTTTTGAGATACCCCTTTGAAACAAATCCTCTAATTCAATTTTCAATTCCCTTTGTACAGAAAATATTACCCAAAGGACTGCAGCAAAAAAAACGAAAAATCTCAGATATCATACATTATAGCTTATGAAGAAACATACAAAGAAATTCTTTCTGGATTCATGTATGTATCTGATCTCATTCTCTGCGCCGGATGAGGCACAAAGAACTTTGGGTGATTCACCAATTTCTTTGGATATTCAAGCACAAGGAATAGAATTCTGGATAGAACTATAGATTCTTTGTGCATTGAGCTTTCAAAAGAGGAAAAATCTCTATTCAGAGAATTTGCAATCAGAAGAAGTCAAGAAATTGAAACAAGTTTCAAACTGGAAGATCTAGATTTAAACAAGTGGGAAATTCTTTTTGAGGATTGGAAAATAAGCACAAGCCACATTAATTCAACAGGTAAGTGATGTAGAAAGCAAGAGAATTAATTTGGTTAATCATTAATTTCATTTGAAATTGATTTTTTCTCCTTGAAAAAAAGGAGTGGAAAAATCAAAAGCACAGGAAGATAAAATGTATGTTTCTTAAGATGATACAAAAGAAAATACCAAACTGATGCACATATCTTATTTGATATGATCCAGATCATTCAGATACTTTCATATCCTTTCAAAGCGTGTGCTAAAGCTAAGCAGTGATGTAGTGGGATTTCTGGAGGCTGATTTGCAGTAGGTTTTAGTCACCCTTGAAATAAGTAAACAAACACAATCAAAGAAGAGTTATTTTGATTCATATTATGCTTTATTATAACTACTGAAAATCCCATTGGGAAGGAAATACAAAACTGGTCAATTTATGGATCTATCAGAATTGATTTTTCAGACATTAAGTTGGCTCAGGAACAACTCAATGTTAGTTCTTCCCTTCAGATGAATTACAGAGTCATTGGTTGAATGTTTCTTTTCTTCAATTTGTGTCAAGGAAAAAACTTGTTCAGATTCTCAAGCAAAAATCTGAAATGGATATCAAAGATGATTTCATAAAAAATTATCAAAATCCGTATGTTCAATGTCCCACTTGCTGAAAGAAAATAAATTCTACCTTTCACACTGACTTTTAACCACTTCAAATTCTTCATCTTGAAACAGGACCCTAGAAGAAAGGATTGAGTTCTACCATCCTGAGACCTCAGAAATGCAAAGACGCTTGGTGAGACAGTTTGTGTTAGGCTTAAGTGCAAATGATGAAACCAAATCATCAGAAGGTCAATGGAATTTCAAGGATACTCAAACACTATTAGAACACTGGAGTAAAATCTCTGGCCCAGGTTGGTTGAACCCAATTGGAAGTTTAAAAATTTCAGCTTTAAATTCTCCAAGAATGTTTGAAACTAACTCTTGACATGATATCATGGGTAACTCCAATTAATTCCACTGTCAAAAAACTTCAAAAAAAAAAAACAGAAAAAGACCCACATTCAATGTAAGTGGCAACGCTGGGCCAGCTACGCTAACCGTAGCGTTAGCGTGGCGTAGCTCAGCGGAAATGCGCTACTTTGTAGCGTAGCATTAGCAAAAAATCCACCTTTCTGCACTAACGCTACGCGCAAAGGGCACAAAAGTGCGTTAGCTGTTAGCGTAGCATTAGCGTAGCGTTAGCGCAGAAAGTTGGAATTGCGCTAACGCTACGCGCTCAGGGCACAAAAAAGTGCCCGCTACGCCGCGCTACAGCGCTTTTTAGCGGGTTTTTTGCCTTTTTTACCGCTAAAAGCGCTGTAGCGCAGCGTAGCGGCTGTAGCAATGCGCTAACACTACCCAGAAACAGGCCGCCTGTTAGCGGGGCTACAGCGTAGCGTAGCGGCGGTAGCGGCACGCTAACACTACAGAAAAAAGGGCCCGTTTTTGCGCCGCTACGCTAACGCTAAGTGGCCTTTTAGCGTAGCGTAGCGTAGCGGCCCAGCATTGTAAGTGGCCACTTAAATTGGGAAAGGAAACTCATCATAATTTACCCAAGCATTTCATGATTCCAGCCCATTAAAAGAATTCACTTCTCTTGTTCCTGAGGTATTTGGTATTGATGCTACATTGGTGAATGATTTGAATGGCTACTTTGAGTAAGCACCTTACTAATCTCAATAGATTGAAAAGAAGAGGAGTTAAATTCCAATCAAATCTGTATGGTCTTGACAACTCAAACAATCCTAGAGATTTAATTCATTTCTACAAAATCCATTCAGTGGAATTACACAAAACTAATTCAGAGCAGCAATACTTTTCTATTGGGGAGATGATACATTACACATTGCTTTGGATCAGGGTATATGATGTGTAAGTTTCTTTCCATTTTTTTTTTTGGAAGAGATCCTCTTATGTCCTAGGAAATTCAATTTATTGTGGTAACTTCCCAGAAAATGCCCCTGGCAGAAAGCTACCAGCCCAAAAATAACATGGGAAATTGAGAAGACATTACATCATTCTTTCTGTGAACTGTATGTTTATGTTCCAAATTTCTTCACTAAAAAATAACAAACAAATTACAAGATTTTTGAATGACTTACCCATTGCTCAACACTTTTGGATAACAAAAAAAACAGACATCTAGACAAGATGATTGATTTAGTAGAGCCAAATTTCTCAGTGTCCCAAAAGTATTCATTCATCGATTTTGTGAAAAGTCAACTTAATGAAAAGAGCCACTCTTCAAATAAGACAGATCCAGTTAACTTGAAATGTATGGTTGAAGATTGGAAGAAAGAGACTGGAAAAATCATTTCAGGGAGTAAGTTGGACAGAAACCCATGAGAAAAACAAATTATCACACATATAAACAGATGTCTGCTTATATGAGTGATTTTAAATTCTTCTATATGTCTGACACAACTCAGCCAAACCACCAAATGGAGATCATCTGGGAAGAAATAAAGAAATTTGCCCAGAAAATCTGGATCTGATAATGTAATCCAAAGGATGATTAATGATTAAAAATTTATTTCAAACTAATATCAGTTATTCTCTGATCCAAGATCAACACAGATGTTTGGTATTGTAGCATGTCGTCTCTTCTTACACAAATATCCTGATTTCATTGAATTTGTCCAGTGAGTTTTCCGATTTGATTATCAGTTTTAGAAAATTGAGTTGACAGGAGATTTTGGTGGTGCAATGATGTCACTAGATACATCAATCATTTTGGATATTTGAGGTTTTCAGACCTGTTGACATACACTTTGGATTGGCTAAAGAGCAGAGGGGAATAGTAAGTTTTTTCTTTTTCCTTTTTTTCTTCTTCTAAGGTATTTCTAGCTTAAATACAATTTCTATAATTTTCCTGGGGCATAAAATGAATCACCATGATCTAGTCAGGCTACATCAGAGGAGTATGAAGAAAAACTGATCAGCAAATTTGAGGTGGGGCTCAGCAAGATGTAAGTAAAGTGTTCCAACTCTCCTGGCAAAACCCATGATCAACCTTTCTGAAACCCACCTAATCCTCAACCAACAAGCTCTGTGGATGAGTTTCTCAAGTTGCATCCTGAGCTCTCCTGTAGACAAAAGAAATCATTCAAGTCATTTGCATTGAAGAATGGTAGGGATGAGGGAATTGAACATTCTGGGGGCTTATGGGAGTTGAGCAAAGTGGACAAATTGTTTCAAGAATGGAAGCAAAGGCCCAAGTGGTACCATATTTCAACATGGTGGAAGAATATGATGCATAGGATTTGCAGTCTTTGGAAAAGCTTGTTTGGATTCCCCACTTGAGGCTTGCACTTTTTCTTTTTCACACAATTATTTGGTTTTCATGGGAATATAGTTGAAGTGCCTCTTCTGTTCTTGATCATTGAAAATCATAAAAAATCAAGTGTGTTACTTGGATGTAGGGCAGCATGCCACATGTGTAATCGACAATTCCTTTTTGGCTACTTTTAATAAGATCAGGCAGTCTGCAAGCATCATGTCCTCTCGGGTTCGTTGATGTGTCACTCTCTTCAAATCAACATGCTTGACATTACATAGACATTGGATTTCAAAAAAAAAAAACGAAAAAAATAGGAAGAAGGATATTTTAACAAGCATAGAAGAAATTGTGCGACCAAAATGAAAAAAAGCAAACAAAAAAAAGGGTGGGGTTGAAAGAAACGATAAAAATCAAACGAGAAGACGACAAAAAACGACGAATTCAATACTTTTGGTATGACGTGTATATAAGGAGCAGAACATGATGAGGTCGAAAGACAGACGACAGAGTAAATGTGTAGATCAAAGTATTATCCAAGCTGAATGGAACGAAAGGATAAAGGGGGGGGGGGGGTATAAAGGGTAACTGGGAAGGCCAACAAAGATTTTAAGCTGTTGTCGTAGCTGGCTCAACAGCCGCCGGTGCAGCAGCGGGTGCTGTTTCGGCAGGAGCTGCGGCACCGGTTACAACTGGGGCCTCCGCTTCGCCTGCGGCAGCCTTGGGGGCCCGGCTGAATCGGCGAGAGGCGCGCTGTTTGCCGGTGGAGACAGAGTTACCAAGCGAGTCCTGTGTTGTCAAATAGCAATGAGTATCCGTCAGCAGTTGAAACGGCCGGTCTATGTAGTCATATTGAGACTTACAACGGTGCTGGTGCCTTTGGACTTCAGGCTGCCACCAACACGGTGGACAAGGGTAGCGGTGCGTCTGGGAGGGAAAAAAAATCAAGCATGTGAATGACTGGAATGAGATGCGCATGACTACAGGAGTGACTTACTTGAAGCTGGTGTTAATGAATTGGCCAACGACGAAACGGTTTTCACCGGTCTCCTGAGCTGCGGGGACGGTCTCAGCAGTAGGACTGTAGTCAAAAGTGAGTGAAGGTCAAAAAAAGTCGATCAGTTTCAATCATTGCAGATCGTTGCATCAATCCATACGCAATCCAATGATCGGCCAGATGCATTGGACAATTCACATGCATCACACAGCAAGCTCCAACCAAGATACATGTGCATAGTTTTTTTTTTCTCTTCAAGGAGAGAGCAGTAAAGAGACGCGAGGATGACTATGTAGCCGAGAACTGATGTAACCGAGCTACAAATTCTCAAATAAAAATAAAAATAGGATAATCACTTTGTTTCAGGCGCAGCAGTGGTAGTAGCAGGAGCCACCGGAGCGGAGGTAGTCGCTTCCGTAGATCGTGCAGCTTGTTCGCCAGACTTGCGGCCAGCTACAGTCCCGGTTTTGCGGCCAGCAATAGCGTCACCGGCTCCATCCTATTCAGTTACGTCGCAAGGAGGTCAGATAATAGACAATAGTGTGTTTTTCACGGATGAAATGACCACTCACAAGGGCAGCGTTGATGTTACCACGGATGTGTTCACCGGCAGTGTGGAAAGCGCCGAGGAAGGCCCTGTAGGTGCAAAGAAGGAGTATGATGTTATAAGTATGATGGGCACATGATCAAGCAGCTGGTGAATGAACTCGCCTTGCTTTGGATCCAACGGTTTTCTGGATGTTGGCGAATTTCTTAGGCTGGGTGGTTGGCTCGGCGGCTGTGGCGGCAACGGCGGGGGTTTCTACGACAGGTTGAGTGGCTGGGACAGCTTCGGCGGCGGTGTTAGACATCTTGAATAGATTATATTATTAAGCTGAAGGGATTCTTCGAGATGCGATTGGTGATGTGGAGGCTAGGTTGGGGAGTTGGTAAATAGGATAAGCGATATCTGGAAGGCTAAAAGCGGAAGAATGAAGAGAAGTACGGGGGATAATAAACTGTTTAAAGTACAAAGTTTGGATGGATGACTGGAAAAAAGTGGGAAGGAGGTTGATGAGGATGATCAGCACGGATGGAGGGCGGAGGCGAGGATCTTATAGTCAGATGAGCCAAACAGGATTCGCAGCTGGAAGATGATCGAAGCTCAGACAGGACCAGGGCAAGAGTGGGAGAGGGTGGGAGGGCGGAGACAAGCGGGAAGAGATGGACAACGGTTGAGGGTGTGTGCTCGACCAGGTTGGGGGTAGACGATACCGCAAAACCAGGCGGGAGAGAAAGCCGGCCAAGCTGGACTGTAGACGAGTCGATGGTCGAGCTGTAGTGAGGTCAACTTGCACAGGATGGATAGAGATCCATCTCAAACGAGCCCTTGTCTCGTTATCCTCAGGCTGACTACGTTATAATTTAATTCAAGTCACCCATTTTTGATTCCGTTACTAGACACATGCCCTTCATCGGTCTACATTTCCTTGTCGAAAGAGAGTAATACAGACAACTGAAAACATTGCCAAGTCAGAGTCAGCTAGCAGCAGCAGCAAAGCCACCGAAGTTCTTTCCAAGTCGTTGGGCCCCATGTCCCCTGCAGTCCAATGACTTGACAACTCTCATGGCCAAGCCCCATGGACGAGGATGAGCGCTATCGACCTGAGACTCCTCAATGCTTGATCAGGTCAATCTTTTCCACAGTCAACCCGGTCTTCCCTTGTTTGCTCTGCTTTGGATGCTTGAAGCCTGACATCAACTTCACTTTTGGGGTCGTGTTGTATCAACTTAGTTCTTAGCAAAGCGTGCAGCTCTCTTTGAATCTTCGTATGTAACTTCCTTGACTTCCTTCATGAGCCCATGAACATCATCCATCACTTCAAACACTTCAGCATAGCCGACGCACAAATGTGGCCGACTAGGGGAAGCTTGATGACCGGCGCATGTATGTAGAGTCTTTGAGAGCACGATCATGTCACCTCATGGTGATGATTGTAAGACATTCCAACTGGCTGCCTGGCATCTCTCCCTCCCTTGTTAATATGTAGTAGTAATTGCAACCGCAAAGTGCACAACCTTTTCGAAAAATCACGTCTTTAAACGTGCCCTCTTTGACCGTGGCACACACACAGCTTTTGATGACATCGCTTGAAAGGGGAAACAGAAGACTAAACAGTCAGAAATACCCCTTCCAGGATCAAGCTGCTGGCTGGTGGATTCTCTTTCTGCTAAAGTTAACAGTTGTGTGGGGATCGTGGGTGTCTCTCCTTTGGCAAATAGAAATGGAAGGGAATATCCCAAGTCTCCACAAATTTAGCAAATTTTCAACATCACACGTACAGCCACCGTGTGGATCATGAGAGTCATTTACGCCAGAGTTTCCGATATGTGAACTTTGTCTTAATGTGACAGTCCAAGTTAACTCACTTGACAGATTGGGGCTTTGCCCTAACTTAACCAAGTCCCCCATTGAAGGGGGACGCCGTCCCGCAGGTGCCCTCTGAACTTTGACTTTTGTTGGCTAGTGCCCTGAAGCCAACCTCCAACTTTTTTTCTTCTAAGGGCACGGTAAGTTGACGTTTATCTTTCCTTGGCAGCAGTAGTGGCGGACAGCAACCTGCAGCAACTTTGTCAAGCAATAGAAAAAAAAAAAAAAAAGATTGATGACAAACAACTAGCCACACATCCCCATACATCCTACTGCAAGTACATATGAGTCAGAGTACCCTGCAAGGCATACTTGTACAAACATCTTTGGTGTGCCCTTAAATTTGGGGGTTTTACCCAAAAATCCATGCATTTTGGTTGGGGCTTCCTAGGTCATCAGGCAGGGAGTCATGGGGGTGGCTTTTTTCTTTTGCTAAATCTTTCTGGTTGAGTTGAAATTCCCTGAAATGATCACGAGCTCCTGCACCAGTCTTTGGTCTAGAGCTAGCAAAATCTTTAGACAAAGATATCCTCACTGCCTGGCTACGTAGAAAAGAAAAATTGAGTAGGATCACATTTCAAAAATTGTAGGGTGAACCTCCTGATTATGACTCTTTGCTATTCAGGTTGCTTATGCGATTAATGCTGTAGAAATAATTTCTCAACCTCTACCTGATCGATGGTTCTACATGCTTGGCTGAGTTTTGTGGTTCATGGTTTGATCATTTCATTGTTTGAAACCAAGAAACATATAAACCGTAGTATAAAATTATATCGACTTTTTTTCTCTACTTTGATCAAGAGTCGAGCTGAGCCAAAACCAGCTTTGTAGCAATACCGTCAAGAAAACTATCAAGTCCAACCGGCGACAACCAATTGAGCTTTGACTTGTTTCTCGCAACAAACCCATGAAACGATAGAAGCAACTTACACCTCCTTTCGAGTTATAACCAAGGAGCACGGATCACCTAATCGCTCTCGTGATGCTTTTGCCAACGTTGACCAACTTTGTGGGAAGTCTGATGATAATTCCAGGTTTCGAATTGCGCCGAAACGTGAGGGTCTCTGATTATCGTAGTAAGACTGCTGGAAAAGAATGCGAACAGCAGCGCCACGAAGAGAGCGCTTGATGATCTATTCATCCTTATCGAGACTAGATAACATCCGTTGGCAACAGACGGGTATCTTAGCGCTCAGTTTGTGAACATCAAAGCTGTCTGCGATGCAAGATTAAGAAGCTCTTTTGTGGGCTCCTTGAGTCTATCTGAAAAATTCGAAATGCTTACAACGACTAAGACTGGTTACGGTTGAAGTAGGTCTCTTATTATCTCTCGAATAATAAATTAATCGTTCTTGTTGGTGAGGATCACTGATGCTGCAGCTTTCGCGACTCTTGAGCCAGATGTGTGTGCTATTTTGTAATCGATGCCATTTAAGAAGAAACGCTTCCTCGAACTTTTATAGCTGATGTCGCTCATCACCGTTGCTACATCACAGCAGGAGATATCTGTCATGCATTTTTGGGTAGGTTTAGGGGTATAGGAGAATCACAGGCGATTGCTTTGCTCATCGCAAGCAAAGCATTCACCCCACATTCCGATCGCTTCAGAGCGCTCAATATTCTTTCCGTTTCAGAGATCCATTTTAATTTACTTGCAGCTGCAGCCTCTTGCAGCACCCTCAAGCTTAGAGTTCCTCGCTGCTGGCAAATAGCGGATACCATGAGATAATGCCATTTAGCGTCATTTCGTATCGACAATGGCTCCTGGTAAGAGAAACACTGAATTCAATTCCGCCTTACCGCTCGTCAGGAGATGGTAGTCATGCAGCGGAAACATACCGAAGTGAGTGATAACAGGACCCAGTCAGCATGTCTGCCCCAAGAAGATCCGTCTTAAAAGCATGATTTGTACGGAGCATTGTTATATTCCTGAGATCCCTATCGGTGTCACCTATGAATTCCTATGGTGCCTATCACCTCAGTATGTCTCCGCCATGTGTGTACTTCGAGTATTAACGCGATATGCCCTGCTGGAATCCGGCTGCTTGCTCACGTGCTCACAGACGTTCTGGGTGGGAAGAGAATCGTGGTATGACTGCAAATTCAATGTTTCGAGTGCAAGTCGGAAAATCTTGAAGTTCTCATTTCCTAGCTAATCATCATGACCTCTAAACAATTCCACGAGACTTTGATTACGCCTGGCTGTTGTACTTAATTCAGTGCTCTTCGTGTCGCCCCCAGCGCGGGAGCTACCGCGCTGTATATTACTGGTACAAACCGCCGTCATCTCCTTAATTGATGCACCCTCTCAGACCAAATTAATAGTGAATTCATTTCAGTCTGTTTTTTCAGGTTTTGTCTGCCTTTTTTTGCATGCAAAAATTAAGCAGTAATTAAATCAAGCAATTTGACTATGAGCACCACTTGCACCGCTGGTGTTCAAATTTGGCGGCATAACTGCATCCAAGTAAAGTCATAAATGTCTTTGGGTGGGGAATATGTAAGCAGGTCCCACTCCAGCCAAAGATTGTTTATGGTTTCATGTTTGTGAGGCTATGCAGTCAACTCTAAACAAATAATACCAATAATGGTTCCAGAGCAATCTGTCACTTTTTTGAGTGAGAATTTGAAGGAATTTGACCTATGGAATTACACACTACTATGTGACACCATACTAAAAGACAGACATAAAAACCTTGCAAAAGAGACACAAATTGCTTAATAAAACAGGAAAGTGACAACGGAAAGAAAAGGGTAACCAATATGATGGATGAAGCCATTTGTAAATTGAGACTTTTTGAGTTAGATGGTGGTGGTAACTTCCTCTAGTAAGATATCTAGAGCTGGAAATCACCTAGAGATTTTACAGGAAGTGTGCAATGCATTCATCCGCCTTCCTGAACAGCAACAACTTGTCAAGGCAGGAATCACTTGATCAGTAGATTTGACAAGTTTCTTGAGCTGCTTGAGCATATAATCTGTATAAGGTGAAGTTACTGAGTGGCAGAGCCTTGGAGTTAGGGGATGCACTTGTGTTATGTAAGTTAGTGGAGCCTGGGGTTTGGTTAAGTCGCTGACGTAATCGGCTTGCCTCCACCTGTGACCTGACTGACAGGGGAAACCCTAAAAACCAGTCAACACCAACCACGACGATGGAATAGGCCACTCCGATCAACACCACTCAGCCGAAGGTAATCACCATCCAAGACGAGAGACCGAGAGAAAGGCATACAGAGCAATCTATCAGACTCGATACTCAGGACCAAAAAAAGAATCAGGCGGGCAAGTTGTTGCTTCTCAAGATGGCCAATTCAGATAGCTATCAGACAGATGAACCGTCTTCTCCAACAGTAACAACCTCATTACTAGTGCCGGGAGACTCGACCGAAGCAGCCTTCGAGGCCCCTCCACTCGAGCTTCCCGTCGGACTACCGCTCTCCCATCAAGTCTTCCGAGACCCGGGCTTTGATCCAGACCAGTTCTTACTCTCACGACGTCATACGACATTGGATGATCTTCGGACGGAACTGAGAAGCTATCTGTCCGGACTTAAAGCGGAACTGGTGGGCCTGATCAACGAGGACTATGAGGATTTCATCGGGCTTGGAATGGGCCTCAGGGGCACAGTTGAACGGGCCATGGGCAAGATGAAAGCGCCGATCGGACAGGCCAAGCTGGATGTGCTGGAGGCTAGGAGAGAACTGGACATCGAACGAGGAGATCTTGAAGGCCTGTTGAATGAACGTCGTAAGGTGATCGAAGGCAAGAAGCTCGTCCGGTTGATGCTCGACTGTGGGGATAGCGTCACAAAGGTCGAAGAGATGCTGTCGATCCAGCAACCGACCCTGCTGGCGAACCAAGGCTCACTCTCTCATGGGACGAGCAAGCCACTCGGAACGCTCGATCGATCAGGCTCAAAGCATCGTCGATCCGAGCTCTCTCTTGATTTGACCGACGACAGCAGTAATATCGAGAGTGGTGTCAAGAGGATCGAAAGGATCACAAATGAATACACTCGAATGCTCTATCTCGTCTCTAAAGGCGGCGATCTCAATTATGTTTCTAGTTTGCAACCTAGGATCACACACATCACCGACGCCTTGCATCGAGAATTAGCCTCCCTTCTCAAGTCAATCCTCCGCACACCCCGTTCCGATACTCGCAAGAGAGACTGTCTATTGGAGTGTTTGAGAGCTTACGAGTCCCTAGGTGCCGTCACCAGAGCCGAAGAGGTGATCAAGACTGAGGTGGTGTTACCTAGAATGTCTAAAGTATGAAATGTCTCCTTCTCCCTTTTCTCTTGCTACTCAACTAACCTAAGACTTTCCTGGCAGTTGATTCATCCCAACGTCCTCAATACAGGTGCGCTATCTCCGGTATTACCAGCATCTCCTGAAGTCGCTCGATTTACGACTCCCCATCCGCCACCCTACCTCAATCCATCGCAGAATTCTTTGAGGCTACCCGAAGATCCTGAACTGGTACCCTTACCTATGCTATATAACAAGATCCTAGCTTTCATCGCACGCGAGATGAGTATCATCATCGATGTTGCTGACCGCCACCTCGCTGGATCTAAACAAGCTAGCGAACTCCAACCTGGCCCTGCTCATGACAATCCATCCTCACCCAAGGATGTCAATGTCGAAAATTCATCCACAAAATCCCATTATAACGTCCTCATCAATTCAGTCATCCTACCCACTCTCCAACTGATTACCAATTCACTTGGATCAAGTCTCTTTGCAGCCGGCAACCCCAGCAATTTCCATCGGAATTACAGCTACACAATCAAGTTCCTTGAACAACTCGAAGAGTTTTGTGGTACCCCACGACAGGTCATCCTGCTCAGAGCCCATCCAGATTGGAAGGCGTTCAAAAACAAATGGCAGTTGGCAGTCTATGCTCAGATACGAACTAAGGAAATCATCCTAACGATCGAAGATGGGCTTCTCGACGGACTCAAGTCTCCCGACCCTACGACTCGCATCACATTTACTCAATCTAGTAACGGCCAGGATCTACATCCTACATCAGAGTATCTTCTCAAAGGCTCGGCTACTATCGATCGTGTACTTCACTTGGTCTGGCAGGATAATGTCTTTCTTGCCGATCTCACTCATCGGTTTTGGAGACTTACATTGATGGTTAGTCGTGATCTACGTTTTATCTTGTTGACCTTCTGGTGAAAGAGCCAGAGTTCAATCGTTTTCCGTCGTTATTTTATCTTGTTATGTGAAAACTAACCTCCTACTGCGCACTCTGCTGGTGATGGAATGGAAATGGGTAATTGTGATGAGCAGGCCATCTCGCGGTATGCCACATGGTTAAATTCGGTGATCGGAGGATATCTGAGCTCCTCGGGGACAGCAGTGACGGAGAGTGGAACGGGGAATGGAGCTAAGAGTGGGGGACGGGCAGACTTGAATCGGGTCAGTGGAGATGATCTTCTGTGGTACGGGTCTGGTCTCTCTGACGACTTCGACCTCGGTTAGGTTGATGGTGTGGTGTCTTGTATATATTTACCCATTTAGTTGGCGGCCCCCTCGACCAATCGACCAAGCTCTAGTCGCCCAAGCTCTCCCTCGAACAGCCCATCCGAAGAATCCAAGGACGAGGAGCTTTTGAGGGTTTTGACAATCGTTTTGGCCGATCTCCTTCGCCTCCAACTTAGCGTCTTGAACTTGTTTTCTCACTCCATCGCCCCCCGAATCCCCAGAGTTTCAATTGGATCGGATTCACAAACACCAGAAGGTGAATTTTCCAGCCTTATCTTGATTAAACTTGGGCACAAGGAAAGCAAAGCTTTTCCCCAAAATGAATCCGTTTGCAGTCCCGGGTTGTCTGAATTTTACATCCAAGCTTAACTGCAGACCCAATTTACGACCAAAAGAAATAGGAAAAACCAAAACTAATCATCTCCTTGTTCTACAATCTCCTTCTTCATGGGGGCTTAACAGACGTTTTGAAGATTTCTTTAGAGAAGATAGTCGGCTTGGCGCCCCAACTAACATCAGAAATACGGCAGACGCTGGTGAAAAGGTGTTCAGAGAAGCTGCGGTTCATTCGCTCAGTTGGCTCGTCGGCCCGAGCCTCGAAGACGATCCCGACCGAGCCAAGTTATTTCATTTCCGACATCCTCAACGACATTCAGGTCTATCTAGAGAAGTACGGCAAGAACTTGACCGAGCGGGTTCGGACGGATCTGGTGAGCGGGATCATCGACGAATTGTCAGCCAAGTATCTCGCCATCCTCATCAACGTCCAACGCTCCGAGGACTCCTTGAGGAAACTCAAGAAGGGCAAACACGGCTTCTCTATCTTTAATCGCAACTCAAACTCGGATTCCAACAAGGCCGCCCCCCTCGTCGAGGACGACGACCTTAAGGTTAAGGTTCAGTTAAGGCTTGATGTCGAGCGCTTGGAACTCGATTCCATCCGCTTGGGGGCCGATCTTTCCTCGTCCAAATCATTTCTTGAATTAAAACAAACCGTCTCTAAATAATCCTTCCTTTCCCTCAATTTTCTTTGTGTACCATCCATATCTTTGCTTCTTTTTCGCAACCTTTGGTCTTTTCCTCTTTTTGGTTTTTTTTAATCTCTCGAGTTTAATTTCATTTTTTTGTTCTTATCTACTTACAACGAGCAAATTTTTGGTCCAGTGAGGAAAGCACAGAGATAGACGGATGATCAGTCTGAACAATCGGACTTCAATTTGTCCTTACATGCTTAGTCGTTGACATTCTCAGGTGGTAAATTCTATGACTTAACAAGTGGGGCCCACTGTCAAGCATCTCTTTCTTGCGCATGTCTGAGAGATGCTTCGTGGGCGCTTTGTCTCCAACAAGTCCCTTCCCTGTTCACCGTGAGCCGGGGTCCTTTCGGGACCCTTCGATCGAGTGAGTCGTCTTGTTATAACCGTCGGATGCGTTTGATCAGGAAGGAAGGACATCAAGCACAAATAATACGGTTGATCTCCATCAAATGGATTAAACTAGCTCATGTATAGCTTGTTAATAGGTATGACGTTTGACTGCTTGGCCATTGAACCCATAGCATATTTTAGGCCCCTGTAATGGAAATTGCAATTGAACACGATGTGGTCGTTTCATTGGACACAAGTTGATGAATGCTTATGTAGGCGATAGCAAATGGCGGCATAGGAATGTGATGCGCATAAAAAAGAAACCTAGGTGCTTGACGAGTCTTCACTGCCTGGAGTGATAGTAGAACAGCAATTCAGTGTCCAGGCCAGATCATAGAAGTATTATCATTTGGCTGAGTTTGAGAAAAAAACTTATTTTCACTAGGTCCTGGAAAGTCTTGAGAGTGTGCATGAAAGATCAGCGAGGTATACCCTTGAGCCTTCCTCATCTGGTCCATTTTCGTCACCAGATGCAGGGCGAGTTGCTTTTTCGGAGGATCCCAAGTGCTTGTGGAGTACAAGTAGGAAGCAGAGGGAGGGCTGAAGCCGAGTTGCAGGAGTGCTTTGGCATCTTCAAGGGTGAATCCGATGAAGCTGATTGGTGTATCTTGTTTGCTGAAGTAATGACGGGTTGATTTTAAGAGATCCATAGTGATGAAGAATTGATCCCAGTCGACCTCCTGGGGGAACCATTCACGCAACAGCACCTGTGTCCGGAGAGGGTCGAATGCATTTGCTTGTTTGTAGCAGCTGTAGAGATCCACTTTGTACATCATCAGCCTGGCCAGACTGTCAAAGATCGGATGAGGAATTTCGAGAAATTTCTCCTTGAGCGCATCCTCAATTTGTAGTGCAAGCCCAGGGCGTAGGTTCCAATGCTTATGAAGTTTAATTTTTGTTGAAGGGAGGTCGTTGGTGGCTGGTAGTGGTCGAGTCATCGGTTCTTCCTGCTTTTGGAGAGAGAGGGAAGTGGGGTTCAGCGAGCTTCTTGATGGATGTTCCTCGGATGATGTAGTAGCCTTTATACCTGAATCTGCAACGTCAGTTGACCAGCACAGTTCTCTCCACTTTTCTTGGGCGGCTCCACCTGGGGTGGGGCCGCCAGGATTCGAACCTGGAACCTGCATGCTAAGATCAGCCTGCAGGGCTACCGGGTAACAATGGTCTTCCCCCATTAGACCATCTCGGCCCCCAGCTGGGATGGTTGACACGCTTCTAGGTCTCAACCAACCCAGTCAAGGACTCGAGCCAGACAGGATGAAACATTGCAACGGCCTGCTCCTGGCCAGACAACCGATCAGATATTTATGATGCACATGGTATGTATGTAGTAAGGCAGTTATCGAAGAGAGACAAGGCCAAGCAAGTTTGACCTGCGGTCGGTGCAATTCGGTGCATGCCAACGCCGACCAAGCAGGGAAACAGGACTTGTGTTAAGTAGGGACACGTTTGGACTTGTGCAAAAGTGTTGATCCCCCTGGCAGGTCTCAGTCTATGTTTGCTTGGACATTGCTGTTGGCCCATAATTTTGCTAACTTAACTAAGTCCCCCCTGGTGGGAGGTTCGCTGGTGTAAAGCACTGGCTGGTGGCGAAGCCACCCCTCCCGCAGGGAGGGACTTATGAACTTTGCGGGGGTGCTCGCCTGAGGGAATCTTTGGAAAATCGGAGAAGATCTCGTTCAAGTTCGAGAGGCTTCAACTCCCTCGTTTTTCGAGGTACATGTTAAGTTCCGCGGAATGAAAGATGCGCTTGCATCCTGACTTTCCTTCGGTCAAATCTGTTTGTGAGACTTCCTTGTAGTATGCTCATAAAGCTTAAAAAACATGTCTGGAGGTGATTGAGGGTAGCGCTTTGTCCCCCTCTTCTTGGTAAAATCCAATTCGGACAAATTCAACTGTTGTGAAATGTAAATACATAATTGAAGAGGATGATAAAGCCTCTGTTGCGCATACATTCAACCTAGGGGGCTGAGATCGATGAGCCTTTAATGTTTTGGGACCCAGCAAATGTGATTTCAAGTCAAAGACAACAAAGGTTCGTTTTGCACAATACGATCGTCTTACACAATGGACGGATCATCAATAGCGATATCGGTAGCAGATCCCAAAGATGCACATGTTGAAAAGACTACGTTACGGCCGATTCGAGACACGGGAGGAAAGAAGCCGTTACAACTAAGTCAAGAAATCCTCAAAATTGACAATGAAAATCTAATTAACCATGTCGAAGTTGAATCAAAAAAAAAGTACGAGGAAGCTCCGAAGAAACTACAAGTGGCTACTGTCTGCAATCTTGCTCGAGGATATCATAGCTTTGTACTGGCCGGGACCGGGTATGGGAAGTCGAGGATTGCAGAACTTTACTTTCACCTGTATGCGCCGCAAACAAAGCCGGTGGTGATCGTGCTTAACCCGTTGGATTCGTTGGGCAAAGACCAGGTCAGTTTGGTGGCTCCAAACTCGTTGACTGTGAATAAAATAACTCAAAAAAGTGATGCTGTGTAGGTTCGAGAGAAAACAAATGCAAACATCAGTGCAATCAGCCTCGGAAAAATGAAAATGACAAAGGATCTAGTAGTGAAATTGAAGAGAGGAGACTATGCTTTTATTTACCTGGTTCGCATCTCCTTTGTTTCTCATCCTGGAAATCCGTCAAATGACAGCTGACGTTGTTGATTTTCTAGAGCCCCGAAGTTTTCTTGAACAACGAGTTGTTCACAGATGTATTCTTCAGCAGCGAGTTCCAGAGCCGACTCGTTCTGATTGTTTTAGACGAGGCCCACATGGTGTACGTTTGGGGCCTAGTTGAATCGGGTAAAGCCAAGTTCCTGTCGGTACGGGATCGTCTTCAAGATTACGGCATCTTCCGACCATTGTATGGAAAGCTTGGTGATCGCTTGATGGCCACGAACCATGTCCCCCTGCTTTTGTTATCTGCAACCTGTCGTCCAGTCGCTGTTGAATCAATTTTAGGAAGCTTGATGCTAAAAAGGGTCGATATTGAATTTTTTCACGGTGAACTTGTACGGCCTGAAATCCGAATCCTCAGGTTTTACATGGAATACCCACTTAAATCTTGTGACGACCTGCTGAGAATGTTCTCGAAACAATCGGAGATACGTAACGAAGAATTAATTCCTATGCTGATTTATTCTGGCACACGCAAGGCAACCCTGAGTGTGATCAATGTTGTCAATAGAGCTCGAGGGAAAAAGAAAGATGCTTACAACAGTAAAAGCCGGCTTATTCGACGCTATCATGCCTGTACCGGAGACGAAGACAAGTTAGATTGCGTGGAAGACTTTGAAAAAGATAAATTTCCAATATTTTCAAGTACAATGGCACTTGGATTAGGTCAAAACTGGAAGCGAGTTCGATGTGTCGTACACATGGGTCGAGGCGATCCATCAACCATTAGCCAAATGATGGGACGCTGTGGAAGAGACGGACGACCAGGATTAGCGCTATTATTCATGGAGCTAAAAAGAAAAAAAGGGAAGAACAGTGTGAAAGATTTCAAAATTGGTAAAAAGCAACTCACGGATGATGACCGTATGGATGCGTATGCTGTGACTCCTGTTTGCTTGAGGGTAGCAATTGCTGTTGATAACTGGTGGGTTTTTTTTTGCCAGATCATGATGGGAGTTAAGCTGAACCGGATACTTTTTTGTTTTCAGTTGTGGATACATACCTATTTCCAGGGACGACCCAAACTATCTGAAGGAAGAATCTCGTCAAAAGTCAAAAAACTTTGACTGCTGTAAATGCTCAAACTGTGAACCAATCGCTGCAAATAAAATACACAACTCTGCGCACCTATTCACCAAAGAAAATTTTGAAGATGTCTTGAGCGATCCTGGCCATTTCACAGAAGGCTTACCCGAGTACGTTAAACCCAAGAAGAAGAGACATACCAAAATCAAATACAAAAGCCGATTCCCAAAAGCCGTTGTCAAGAAGATTTCCGATGATCTAGTAACTTCGTTCGAAGGATTTTACCATGATGTTATGGGATCAAAGCCGAGAACTAAAGCAGCCAAGTATTTTACTGAAGACAACGCAAAAGCTGTGGCGCAAGCAATTGAAGAAATAAAGGAAGCTAGTTTGATTGCAAAACTTATTGGAGGGGAATGGTTCGATAACCAGGTCGACAACATGTTTTCTTTTATTGAACAATACAAAAAAACTGGATGGTTTGAACAGCAAGTTTTCAATTTGGATGAGGGGAAACGACGAAAAGAGAATGAAAAACAAGAAAACTTGCGAAAGAAAAAAAACGACAATGAGGAGAAACGTCAGACCAATGAAAGGAAAGAAGCCGAGAAACTGGCCAAACGTGCGGAGGATACCGCAGTTCTGGAGGGTTTCAAGCGAGTTCGTGCAGCCGAAGCCGAGGAGAAAAGGGCAAGAGGAGATTTTCCAACAACTTTGGCAGAAACTGTTACGCTGCAACCAAAAGCCAAACGTATCAGATTGTCTCCAGAAGATAAAAAAAAAAAAGATGAAAAAATCAAAGCCGAAAAAGCAGCTAAAAAGGCAGAAGATGCATTTGTTTTGGAGGGATTCAAGCTAGCTCGAGCCGCCGAAGCCAAGGAGAAAAGAGCTAGAGAAGGTCAAGAAGAAAGAATCACCTGATTCTGAATCATTGGAATCATCAGTATCCTCAGACTCGTCGGTATCCTTGGACTCGTTGGTATCCTCAGACTCGCCAGTATCCTCAGACTTGTCGGTATCCTTGGACTCGTCGGTATCCTCAGACTCGTTGGTATCCTCAGATTCGTCGGTATCCTCAGACTCGTTGGTATCCTCAGACTTGTTGGACTTATTTGTACCGTCAGAATCACCATTATCAATCTCAGGATCAAACATGTAGACTGGCTTCAGTTGATCGAGTCCCCCTTTCCGGTTTGCGTAATTATTTTTGATTGTTGCAATGCCTTCTTCGTAGATATCAGAAATTAAGATTGGGACAAATTCATCAGGCTTATCTTCAGCTGAACAGATGTTGTGCTGTCTTGCAAAGCTGATGAAGTTGTTGATTGAGAGGTTTGTAATTCGATTTTTGTGTGATTGTTGAATCACATTCATGCCTGACTGAACATTGAGTGTATGCATAAGGTCTTTGAGCTACAATGTAAATAAATAAATCAGTGTGAGTGTTAAATTTACTGAAAGAGATAATTTTTGTGACTAACAATTGGGATATTGATGGAAAAAACATCCCTCAAGCGCTGGATGACAGTGCCAATGCCGGAGTGGTTGTAGAAATACTTGAGCCAGAAGTTCTGAACTTCTAGGTAGAAGTCTGTGGCTACAAAGTGTGCTTCCCTGCCAGAAGGACACAATAGGAGGCTATTTTCAATTACTTTTGCTAGGGACTTTGGGAGGATGACTTCAATTAGGAGGATCAGCTGCGGGAGGTGACGAGAATAATGGACAAGTTTCTTCAATCCTTGTCCCATCACAGCCCATTGTTTCCACATGAAAAGTAGACGGCCTGTATTGCCTGCTTTGCTTGCACGATTGACTTCAGTGACAGTTGCAAAGTCCCGGAGCCGCAAAAGGAGATTGATCAGTTTGGTCTGGTGTTTTTCGACAGCGGTCTCCATTGCCTCGCCTGATAAGAAGCGATTGTAAGTTTGATCGACGATTCCCTGGATGTACAATGGAGACATGGTGGGAAGCTTTGTGGGAAGGTTTTCACATTCTTTCCCCATGACAACTCTGTTCAAATGAAGAGATGCAAAAAAATAAATATCTTACAGGTCAAAATTTAGAAAATAGAGGATGAAAAGAGACTTACAACATGCAATAGATCAAATCAGCATCATGTATCTTCTCCATGTTTGAGATCATGAGGGTGAAATCCATCTTGGTTACGGGTTTGTCTGCTGGTATTCCAAGGGACTTGAGGACTCGCCATGCGCCAGTATCTTTTCGATTGGTCTGGTCGCCCCAGTGATGTAGGAATATTGACTGAGAAAAGTTCCACATGGTGTGAGCTGCGCCAGGGATGGCGAGAAGGTTTGCAAGGCTTGTTTTTGAATAGCTGGCAGGAATTCGAAGCTCGCGAAGACTCAGGATGTTCATACCAGTCCCCAGGTCACCCTCCACAAGTTGGAGTTGATTCGAAAATTGCTCAGGAGTGAGGCCAGTTTGTTCAGTAAGACCTTTAAAGACATTGCCAATGCCTTCAGATGAGTTGTCTGAAGCCATCATGAGCTTCAACATCGTCAGGTTGGGTTTATCCGCTTTGATTGGTCGAACTGGTGGTGGGTGATCTTGAAGGGACGGTCCCTTGCCACTTGAGGAGCCAATGTAACGCAGGAAAGAGCTTGTGAGTTGAGATTTCAGGGTTGACTTAAAATGTTCATCGCTGGTGAAGGTTGAAGCAAAGTGACGTGGTTCGACTGTGAGATTGATGCTTTTCTTGAGAGCCTGTTTTAACGAGGCAAGAGACAACTCCGTATGGTCTAGACTGTTGAAAAAGCTGGATGATAGGCGATGGATGTACCCCCACGTGCCGTGAAACATTGTGCTCATGTGGCCTACTGACTTGGTATGGATGGATTGCTGAAAATCTAAGTTGTCGATGCAGATTGATGGGGGGAAGATCTTTGAGTTGGGGTCAGAGGATCTTGTCTTAAGGGTTTCCTCTGTCTCTTTTCCAAGTGATGCTAGCCCAAGGTGGGCAGTCCTTCGGCAACAAGTAATACCAATGTAATTCAGGTATCGGTTCACGCGTTCAGTGACCCCGCAGGCTATGAAAAGCAAGCCATTTGTCAGTTGAAATCCATTATGGCGCCGGTTTCGTCCGTACGTCACCATTGAGCAAATTGTTCTAGACATGTCTTCATTTTGCTTGTGTTTTCGTATTTTGGGGTCAGTACTTGGGCGTAGTATATTGTGTTCAATTTCCATCACATCGTCCTCAGACAAAGCAATTGGGATTTTTGCATTGGGGTCTAGTTCGGTCAAGGTGTCAGAATCGGACTCAAGGACAGGTACATGCGGTTCGTCAGGTTCAGGGACAGACTCTTCCAAAGGCGCAAGGTCAACACCATCATCGCTCTTCTCTTCTTCGTCATCAGAATCATCATTGGTATCTGGTCTAGCTAGTTTTCTCATGAGCAGGTTGTACAGAAAAGGCATTGATTCCTTGATTGTTTCTGCACGCTCCAACCGCGCCTCTTCGGTGAAAAACAGCCTGTTCAATTTTTTTGAGCTGTAGTATGCGCCATCCGGAGAATAACCAGTCTTGGGCTTCTGCTTGCAGATGATCATAGAAGCCTGCGCACGCAAAATCAAAACATATCAGTTTGAATCAAAAGAAAGGTAGGTTTAGATGGAAAGAACGGAATGAGCTGGAAAACACCTCATCGAGTATAAAATCCTCCCAGGATAGTTTCCCTCTGTCGGTCTTTCCAACGACACGTTTGATCGATTCTAGCAGCCTCCTGGTCCCGGTCCAGCTTGAACATCCCCAGAATCGTCGCTTGTATATCGAGGCATCCGATGTGGCATTCAAAAAATGATCGATGTAGCTCTTCGGTTCCCAATTTAGTGATTCAAGGAGGTCGGATACTCGCTTGAGTTTGACTTCCTCCGATACATATTTGGTTGATGACGAGGATGGTGTCTGTTGCGACATCGATGGTGTTTCTTGAGATTGCGACATCGATGGTGTTTCTTTAGATTGCGACATCGATGGTATTTCTTGAGACATTGATGGCAAAAGGATGATTTATAACCAAATCGGAGAGATTTGCTGATGGCAGTGTTGCATATATCTAGCTTGATTGGTGTCCGGGGTACAAAGTTTGCAGAGAGAATAGAGAGAGGGGCGGTTGAATGGTAATTAGAGAGATGATAAAAAAAGAGGAGAAGGAAAAAGGCCGAACAAAAAAAAGAAGAATATACATATAGGCTGAGTTGGCCGAGAGTCATTTTTGACCTCCAAAATTCTTTGAAAATTGATGAAAAAAAACATGGTGGTTACTATGATGAGGTTTTAAGTTCTAAAAATCAACAAGGTACTGAACTTTCTAAGTTTTGGTTGCTGGGATTGACAGCATCAAAACTACAGGCTGGAAAATTCAAAGAGTGAATTTCCAGCCTGTTTTGGTGAGTGGACTCAGGCGAGCACCCCCGCAAAGTTTGTAAGTCCCTCCCTGCGGGAGGGGTGGCTTCGCCACCAGCCAAACTTAAGCTCCACCCAAAATCGACCTCCCGCAAAGGGAGAGACTTTGTTAAGTTAGATAATTTTGTCAAGTAAAGAACGGTGAACAGTGTGGCCAGCCCACAAGAGTTTCCTTTCCAGCTGAATGTCGGAATCAGTACATCTGACCTCACAAACATTACGGTGAGTTGAGTGCCCACTGGCACTACCAGGTCATCATCACGTGTTTTCATCACTCATAATAGATACATCATACACCCAGCAGCCAACAATCGGAAATGCTCAAATCCACCGACTTCGTCAAATTCAAAACCAATGTCCAAAAACATTTGGAGACCCAGGCTGAACAGGTGCAACAGCACGAGAACCTTGTCAGAGAGATTCGTTTGGCATCGTAAGCTTTTTCTTTACCATTTAAGTTGTGGCATATCGTTATAACACCTTCTCATGTTCAGTCAATTCCACTCATCTTTGCATTTAAGGCACCACCCTGTTGAGCAAGAACCTGCCACAATTCCGGTACACATCAGCCCACTGGAGAACACTGCGGTAGAACTCGGGAAGGCATGTGCTCAAGTCTCAAAATCTTCCACTCAGTTGTTGAAATCCAGCTATGAATGGCTTCAGGCCGACCACGATTATTTACTTCGACGGACGATTGCCATCAACCTGGAATTCGAGCTCAAGCGGCAACTATTCCCAGCCCTAGATTCCTCATCAAGACAACGGTTACCGTCAGCTTGGGAGAGTTTGCAGCAAGCAAAGAAGATCAATCCTCATCACGCGTCACGCATCTCCAAAGAATGGTTTCCCTCTCCAAAAGACCAGCAGAACTTCTTCCTTGCAATGCGGCTTCTCAAAAGTGCATCTTCTGCTGTCCACCCAGTCAACACCATCAAAGGTGCACCCATGACAGTCTCAACATCATCTGCACTTTTGCAACAAGATTTCAAACCCGTGCCAACTTCATCTGCCTCCTTGAATGGCCTTCAGTGGGATGATGAGAAGAAAAAACTCATCAGTCACTTGGTCAAACAACTCGGAAGTGTGCGGGCACGCAATGGCCATCCCCAATTACTTCTTTCTTGAGAGCAACAATGTTTAACATTTGATCAGGAGCATTGGCAAGTGATTTTTATTGAGTTGCTTTATGACTTTGTGGACAGCTTTATAACCAAGCTTTGTGCCTGCATGCGACTTTTTTTGACCACCGGAGCAGCAGTTTTGAAAGATGCAGTGCTTGCCCAGATCTCCCCGGATTGATTCCTGTAAACCAACCTCGTCCTCATCTGCATGTTAATAATCCACACCCTACTGCTCCTTGGAGCTTCACCATTTCTCACTAGCCCTCCTCTTTTAGTTCTAGGTTTAGGTGTATTAAGTCCTCTCCTGACTGCTGTGATTTGATTTGGTTGTCCTTTCTGAGAGAGTTTTCAAGTGGGCCCTGCCTATCACCTAATGCGCGCTTATAAGATCTTATACGATTGCAATGGCTTTATCTTCCTGTATGATTAGACAAAAGAAAGATATCTCCAAATTCGGTCTCGGATCTCCTATTCATTCGGGCATGATCAAATGTTGTGCGAGAGACAAAGATGTTTGATAATCAGCTGATGTGGCATAGTCATACCTTACATGCCACAAGCCTTCCAGGGCTTAATGAGCCGCCAAGACACAAAATCAACTTCAATCAAATTGAACAGTCACATATTTGCATCCATCTTAGTTCCTGCTTTGAAGGTTACTCACAGGGTTGGATCGGCAAACCTACTCAAACTGCAGTATTCAGGAGGATTGTCAGCTCACAGAATGCTTCTTCTGTTGTTTCCCCGAAGGCTTTTCGGGCACTCACGCAAGTCAGATCTTTTTGTCCATAGTGGGTTGGCAGACTTTCTTGACCAAAATAGAACTCAAACATTGGACTAAAGTTCCTGTGATAAGTAGCAACAGTACGCCATAAACAGCCAGCGAATGGCCAGGCTGGAAAACCATCTCAGCTTGGTTTTTGCGATGTATGTTTTCCACAGGCAGGTATGTGTAGCACCAGACAACTACCTAAAGTATCAATGAGTTGGTAGGAGTTGCTATATTTGCAGGCCATTGAGCACTAGTGGAGAATCAGGGTTTTTCTTTCAAATAGATTGATGATATTCCGCTTGAAGGTTAGCATGTTCTAATATTTGGACAATAAACCAATTTAGTTTTGATAAAGAAGAAGTTCAACAACAAGGATATGAAGGCCAACCCATTCAAAACCAAGAAAACAGAAAGGAATGCGCAGGGGTATGCACCTGTCACACTCTGTGACAATCCTTGTTTTTTTTTGCTTCTATACTGGAGTCAACAGTGCTGGGAAGGTTTCCTTTTTCCTCATCCTTTCCAATACTGTTGGCCCAGTTCATCTCAACACAGACAATATAGTTTATCTCCAGCAAAGGGATACTAGCTCATGTATAGTTTGTTAATAGGTATGGCATTTGACTCCTTGGTCATTGAACCCATAACATATTTTAGACCCCTTTAACGGAAATTGCACTCAAACACAATGTGGTAGTTTCATTGGACACACACAATAAATCAAAGTAAAGGAAGCATAGTTGATAGAAATTTATACAGGCAACAGAGAGAAGTAAAGACCAAATCCCAAGAGAATGCATCATGCTCCAGGGTGGTAAGTTCAATTCTAAGTGCAATATCTCTGAAAAGGCTTTATGCCTGGCAAGTCTATTTGGATGACTTGTAGGCTCTAGTTGAACTTCCTTTGAGGGATTCCATCAATTTTCTCCACAATTTGGAGATTTTGTTCTTCAAATTCTCCCACCAGACTGACCATTTGGACCTTGTCTTCCATTCTTCATGCAACTTCTCAACTTTCTCCGAGTCCCACACATCCCAAGAAGTTTTATTTCTGTGTCTCTTTGAGATGAATGACCAGAAGGATTTTTTTTGATGGGAGAGGTCTGGGTGCAACTTGAAGAAGTCCTCTACAGAGCTGTTCATTTGAAGATTGAGAGAGTTTGGGGATGGGTTTCTCAGTCAAGAATCTTCTCTTGTTTTGAACTTTTATCAAGAAAGTCAGAACCAAATCTTACAGTTTGTTGAGCTCTAAAGCAAATTTGACCATGAGATCTGACCAATCCTGATCTGATATCAATTCAATAGATGGTGATCCACTATATATACAGTGAAAAAAAATCACATTGAGGTTCAGTGATTCTGCTTTCCTTAAAAAGATGATCTGGTATAAGAAAACTCACAATTCCCCCTTGCTCTTGAGCCAATTTGCCACATGGATTATGAGATCTGAAAACTTCATTGTTTCTACAGTACTGAGTTTTCTAATCAATCAGGAATTTCAATCACAGACATCAGTCACATAATCCCACTAGACCACAGGTGATGTTTCTCATCAAATTTATGTTTGAATAACACTCAATCAAAGGTGGAAAAATTACTCACAGTAAGAATTCAATGAAATCAGGATATTTCTCCAAGTACAAACAGCCTCCAACGATACCAAACCTCTTGACTGATCTGCCATCAGAAACTATGCCATATCAGTTTGCAATCTATTTATATCAGTCACAAGTCACCTTACATCATTGGGTCCATTTTGGATGAATAAACTGCTTCATGGTTTCCAATGGGATTCATTGTTTCATCTGTGTTTGTCTTCCAATCTTTAATACAACCTTTTAAATAGTCTGGTCTTAAAGAATTTTCATGTAATGCACACATTTGCCACTCAGTTTCTAAATATAAGAGGAATTCTCTCTTTTGATCAATTGGAAAATCTGGATCCAATGAATCAATTGTTTCAGACAAGTGTGGCCTACTTTTGGTGTGTTGAATGTTCATGCCAAAGGTAATTCAGTTCAGCGTATATTGTGTTTTACCATTCTAAAAATTTGAATTGGGAGAATTGACATACATATTACATAAATAATTATATAATCTCTTTTCAATGTTCCACATGTATATTTGAAAATAAGAATTGTTCCATTTACTTTCCCTGGAAAAAATATAGAAATTAGTAAAAATTCAGTCAAATGATTTATTTCAAAGAATTCATAAAAAGGGAAACCTTACAAATTATCAAACTTGATCCAGAGGAGTGTGTAATGTATCAGCTCTCGAAGAGAAATTTCTTCCTTTTCATTTTTCATTTCCCAAAGCATTAGATTTCTAGATGTGGTTTGAGTTGTGAAGAGATGCTACTGTTCATTACTGGGGCAATTTATTGTCTTTTCAATCTGGTTCAATTGGAAAAAAAGTGAGACCTACTTGAAGTAGTTGTTCAAAGATATGACTGATTCAGGAGGAACCCCAAATATATTGGGAACAATATCATTAAAATTGCTCAACGATCTGAATTTGCAAAGTTTTTGAGATCAGCTTTCTTTCAATCTTGTCCACAAATAAAATGGTGAATAGCTTACATCAAGCGTGATTCTTTTTCTTTTGTGTTTGGTTTTACAGGGTGATTAATTATTTTGAGAGATAATGATGGGAATAGTTAAAATAGAGTTTTTTGAACTATTTGGAATTAAAAAATGTCCAATCTTATAATTGGATCCAACTTACCTGGGCCTGATACCCTATTCCAGTGCCTGAATATTTCTTGAACATCCACAAAATCCCATTGATATCCTGCGGGTTTGTTTCCATCAACTGCACTTAAACCTAATACAAATTTCCTCATTGAAAGTCTTTCCTTTTCTGAGGTTTCAGGAAGGTGGAACTCAATAATCTCATCAAAAGTTCTTTTTTGGATTGTTGAAGCCATAAAATCAGCATCAAATCAGATTTCAAAATGTTGAATTTGTGGAAAAATTGAAATTGAACTCACGGATTGTTGTAATTTTTTTTGAAATCATTTCTAATATCAACTTCTGACTTTTGTTTAAGCAGCTCAATATACTTGCTCCTTTATCCAAAGTGAAGAACATTCACTTAATTCAAAGTATTGTTCTATGAAAAAAAGAAAAAAAACAAATTAAGAGAATAACTCACTCAAAGTTGTCCCTGAGCCAATCCAAAGTATGCTTCAGCAATTTTGAGACATTCATGAATGGTGCAGTTTTGAATTTTCTGACCACATAGTAACAAGAACCAAAATTTCTCTGTTTCACTGGATGGATCTTGTTTTCAAATTCTGAAACTCAAAAAAACCTACATTAAACTAGTCTCCAAATGCCCCAGTGCTTTTATATCCAAATCCAGAACCCTTCTTGAAAGAATAATGAAGTACCTGAATGATCTGAATACATCAAGTGAAGAGAGGATTAAAGCTTCAGCTTGATTTTTCTTTTTCATCACACACAAAACTAATCTTACATTGGATTTTCAATCTCTTCCATGTGTTCATCTGTTCCTATTGGTTGATCCAATTTAGGAGTGTCAAACATTGCATTTGTTTTTTCCTCTCCCTTTGGCGGTTGAGCTATGTTTTGGTAAAGTAGAAAGCATTAGGATAAGACAAAAATAAGTCAGCCATGTTAATAGAAGTTTGATGTTCTGGTGTCCCTCTCCAACTTACTCTCCAAAGTTGTTTGGCCTGTGCTTTTCTTCCAGTCTTCAAACAAGAACTCCCATTGCTTCAAGCCTACATTTCCTAAGTCAAAATTTGGTTTACCAGTTTGAAGTTTTATTTTTATAAATTCTTTGAATGAATCCTGTTTCTCTTTTGATAGCTTGATCCCCAATGAAGTTATCTTCTTGTCTAGGTTTCTGTTGGTTGTGCTTTGAAATGTTGAACCATTGGTTGAATCAGTACACATTACTGCTCAAATCATCTTATTTTGCAAAGAAAAGATGACAGATACATACATATGCCTCATAAACCCTTTACTTAATAAATCTTCAAAGTAAAAAAGCTCATAAAAATCTCGTATGTGGGTGTTGAATAAGAAGCTTAAAAAATCCATCAATTGGTGAAGAATTAAATCAGAAATTTTGTTTTGAAAAGACAGTTGAGGGGAATCAGTTCCACCAGTTGGAGGAATATTGTGCAGGACCAAATGCCAGTCACCATTGCCAAAATTGGACATTAGTAGTGCATTTTGTGAATTCTGTGGGTTCCATCTTCATTATGAGAGGCACTATTAAGTGGTTGTCCAGTTTCCAACCTCTGAGCTGGCAGTGGCATCATCCTCACACCAGCTTCAGAAGACTGTATTCTTGGAAAGCTGGTATGGCCTCTAGCTGGGTGCAGATCTTCAAACTAGTAAATTCAGGCTTGCAGAGTACTTGGCCTCATTGGCAGGCCAATAAAGGCTGTTCCATGTACCTGCTCTGAAGTCTGTTCTTGGCAATGCGCACGAAGTCTTGTGGGCCGTTTTCCTCCAATCATGGGGGGTTGTTTGACCATTTGGCAAGATAAAAAGGGAAATAAAACTTACATATTGTTGTCCTTGCCCCATAGCAACGTGTGATGGACCAGTTCCTCAAGTGGAAGTTTTTGATTCTCATCACCAATCTCCCAAAGCATCAAGTGTCTAGATTTAATTTGAGTGGAAAAAATTGTTTGAATGAAACATGAATTATTATGTACATTACTAATTGAATGTTTATTGAAATGAGACTTACTTCAAGTACCATCTCAGTTCTTCTAGTTTTTCAGGGAGGAACCCAACAACTTTGTCTACAAGACCATCAAATTCACTCCATGAACTGAAATTGCAAAAGTTTTCAACTTGCAAAATCTTAACTTCACTTGATTCATCAGATCTCAAGACAGTTCACTCACATCCATGTTGGGTTTCTGTCTGATTTCACAGCACATTGTTTTTGGTTAAAATGTTATGAAATTTCACACAAGAGTCAGTTGGTAATGAGTATAATAATGATTGGTATTTTCCAAGGTGAAAAGTTAAGTAAATTTTGATCTGACATACCTGGGCCTGAGAAACGATTCCAACGTCTGAGCAATTCTTGAAGATCCTGAGCAGACCAAGAATGCTCTGTTGAAGATATATTTTTGTTAAATGCTAAGAGACCCAGAGCAAATATTCTCATAGATTTCTTTTGATCTTCTGGGGTTCCTGGGTGGAAAAGCTCAATCCCTTCCTCAAGGGTCCTTTTTCAAGAAAAATGATCCAGTGCAAGGGAAAATGAGTTTGAGAGCGTTCAGTTAATTTGGTTGTTCAAATTTTGAACATGAACACACATTTTACCACACTGTTTCATCAGAAAATATTTGATCTCCTCATCAGACCTTCCTTTGGACAACTTGGCATATTCACTCCTGTAGATAAACAACACCCAAGTCAGATTTAGTCCAGGATGTATGTAATTTTAGAACAGGTATAAATTGAAAACCAAATGACACACTTGAGAGCTATCTTGATGAACTCCAGTGTGTGGTCAATTAGGTCTGAGAGATTCAATAATGGCCCAGGGTTTCTTTTTACCAAAGACAATCTTAATTCATTATTACCATGGATATATTTTTGAAGAGAAAAAATGAACTAAGTAATTGAACTAATATTCTTGATATTTTCCAAATCTTCATCATAAACTTACTGCAACCAATTATCCAACTGGCCAGCTACTAGAAAATTGTTCTCTAGTTTTAAAACTGTCTTTATTGTAGTCATAAAGTGTTTGAATGATCTATAATCAGGTTGGATTAATTGATCAATTTCAAATACCATATGATATCATAGTTGAAGTAACTTACACCATTCTTTCTTCTTGTTTTTTGCGCGGAGGAGGTATGGCCATTCCTTGATCCAGATTAAAAGCAACACCATTCCCATTCCCTGGATGGCCACTTTCTCTTGGCTTTACTGAGTCATTTCAGAGTGGACAGTATTTAAGTCATTTTGGCAAAGTAGTATAAATTAGGGTCCATTGGATGACTTCCCGTCAACATCTGCGGGTCTCCCAGTTTCCATTTAGAGCCGAAAAAGCTAGATTTCCCTGCGAAAATCTAGACTTTTTGGGTCTAAATCGAAAACTGCGAGGCTCCCAGATCCGACGGGAAGTCCTCCATTGTTTCCCAGTTTTGGAGATAAAGCTTTTTGGGTTGTATAACTTACTCTGTGAATTATTGTTTGCTTCTTCTACAATGCGCGAGTATCCCCCATGACCATCATGGGTACTACGATTGCAAACAATCCGGGTAAGAGAAATTGAAATCCTTTCGATTATGATGATCGAGCGATAGATCAAAAAAAAAAATGCTTACAAATTCGGTTGACCATTGTGATAAGCTTGAAGCTGATCGATGGGGCCAGAGCTCATTCCGAATTCTGTCTCGGATCTCCTATTCGTTCGGGCATGGTCAAATGTTGTGCGAAAGACGAAGATGTTCGATAATGAGCTGATGTGGCATAGTCATACCTTAAATGCAACGGGCCTTCCACGCTTGATGAGCCCCCGAGACACAAAATCAAATTCAATCAAATTGAACAGTCACATATTCGCGTCCATCTTAGTTCCTGCTTCGGAGGTTACTCACAGGGTTGGATCGGCAGGCCTACTGAAACTGCAGCATTCAAGAGGATTGTCAGCTCACAAGATGCATCTCCTGCTGTTTCGCTGAAGGCTTTTTCGGCCACTCACGCAAGTGGGATCTTTTCCTCCATAGTGGGTTGGCAGACTCGCTTGACCAAAATAGAACTCGAATATTGGACTGAAGTTCCCGTGATAAGTAGCAACAGTGCGCCATAAACAGCCAGCGAACGGCCAGGCTGGAAAACCATCTCAGCTTGGTTTTGGCGATGTATGTTTTCGACGGGCAGGTATGTGGAGCACCAGACAACTATTGGGAAGTTGGAAACAGCTGATTCAAGTTAGGGAAATGTCAGAAGGCCACTGGGGCGATGATACATGCGTTTTTGCGTTCTGACCTGTTCCAGCGAAAACTACATGACAAGCACTTGCTGGCGATGTGAGCGGCTCGGTGCTGCAGCTCGACCAGGCTATGTACACCGTCGCAGCAGAGACGAGCTATAAAGGTAGCGTCGAGTACAGCATCTGATCCGTCACCGTGCCACACTGGGCGAGAAGTTTTAACGCTCCGATGATCTGTTTAACAAATTCGAAGTGCGTGATGGCGCCGACGCATCAAGTTGCGCCATTTCTGGGACTGTATGTATGAGTGCCGATGAAGCATCGTCCTTCTAGTTAACCGTTTACTCCAAGAGCCAAGGGAATCTGGGGCCTGGAGGGAAAAGCGGTGTTAACTCAAGTCTTGGCGATTCATATAAAGTGCTCACACTGATGACTATCGGGTGCATCAAACTTCTCATGGACTCGATCCGCTGGTAAGCTCGTCAGCTGGAAGACAGAAAGCAAACCTCAGGCGACCTTTGCAGAGCTGCACTACAATATCAAGGGTTTATATGAATTTACAGTTGTATAAAGATGATTTTCTACTGATGTTCTATAAACCAGAATTGAATGACTCTTTTTGATACCTACCCAGACTTAGAGAAAACTATGAGAAAACAAAATCAAGTGGAAAGATAATGATGGATGAACACATGTGTATACAAATCAATATAAATAATTTGTAAAGAGAGACTTTGAATATTTGACAGTTTCTAATTAATCAAAGTAAAACTACAAAAACAAAAAATATTGATACTATGTTGATAAAAGATGGCAGTCTGATTGATCTCAAGAAATGAATACACGACGCATTTCTTCGATATTAAACACTTGACCGGTCCTGGGACAACGAACCCGGCCATCGTCCTTGCAAGCGAGACGTTCCAATCCGTCACGGGAGTAGACCCTACCATTCGGCAGAACGGCGAGTCCGTCGCCGTCGTTGACCACTTTGCCGGTGAGGCCGCAGACGATGATCGAGTTAACATGGTGCGACCAGGGGCATTCCTTCGCCAATTCTCCCAGTCCGGCGGGATCACATGTCGGACAATCCGGATTCCTCTGAGCGGAAGGTCTGTGATCACTCTCCATTCTTTGGACTAAGCTTGGATCGTAATTTGACGGTGGTGCCAGATGACTATTGGTCGTGATAGCTGCATTGCCCAGACTGGTAGTCGCAGAAGATGCACCAATGAATTCACCAGGGTTTGGAAGTCGGGTCTGGAACGATGGCGGGGTCATTTCTAGGTCTTCTGTAGTTGATGTTGCTGGTTTCTTTGGATCGGAATAACATGCAGGTAGCTTGAGCGAAGCCAAACCCACTGAGAGAGACAGATGCAGAAACGGCTGCTCGGGTATAGACAGTAGGGCGAAGAGTGTGGACCTGAAACTGGTTAATAAGTCTACCCAGCGACTTTCATCATACAGGCGCTGTTGTTCAGGTTGATAATGCGCACATCTTCAGACCTCTTTTTGCAACTGCAGATTGAAACCGCTGCTTGCTAATCCAGAGAGAAATCAGACCTACAGCATACGGTGGGCATCTCGTTCGTTGATCGAAGGCTAACAAGGTCATCACTTGACTGATTTCAGCTAGACGTGTGCTCTGCCATGGAACCAATTGTTTCTGGCTATAACTGATTGCTTCGGTGAACTTCTTCGCTTTGACCAGTTCAATAAATTCCTGATAACGCAGTTCAAATTCTAAAGAGGACTGTGAAGAAAATTAATCAGTGTCTTTTGCCTGGTTGCTTTTTTTCAAATTGTAAGATCAATGCATTCGATCAACCTCACTTGAGTCTTTTTCAATGCTGCTGCATTCTCTTTACACCATGCTAGGGCCTCTGTGCAGCTGTGATCAGTTAAAGCTTTCTCGATCCGAGCCAATTCTGAAAATAGAGGCGCATCTGTCAACATCTATAAGAACCTCGCAGTACCGCATTGTTTTTGTTAAACACCACAAATTCTGCTGTAAGTATAAAAATACATTCTTTCAATCGGAAGAAAGAGAAGGGTGAGGAAACACAAACCTCGATGCCAGCAACTTTACTTAAAGATTGAGCGGATTGGGTATGCCCAGAACGAAGCATGAAATCGACCAAATGACGATCCAATCTAGTCTGAGAAAACTTCTTGTACTGTCATGTGACACAGAGCCAACAAATGAAACAATCAGTTTCGTGTAAATTATGTAGTCTGAATGATCTAGCAAAAAAAAAAAAAAACTAACCGCAAGGTCTGTGGAATATTCAGAGGAATATAAATTTTGAAGATGGTCGATTCTTGCTTTAATTCGACTGAGTGAAGGACCCATTCCAGTGCGAGGATTATTGTAGGTGTCGTCAAGCTATTTTTTGACAAATTCGAGGCAGGCGGCGTTTTAGTAAGACAAGATGAGGACTGTACGCTGTAAAGTTGGAATAGACTAACTTTGCGTTTAAGGCCTCTTGCTTTCGATAGGAGGCCGTCGATGACTTTGATAGTCTCGTTGCCTTTCTCCACATCGACGACCGTTGCTTGATGGTCATTGCCATCAATCGGACGAGATGAGCTTCCGGCGGCCTCCTTTAGACTAGTATTTAGCCTGTCAAAGTCTCGCTCTAGCACGCGTTGTGTCGAGCGTAATGAGGAACGTAATGCGTCGGTTGGGACCTGGATGTGGATGTGGATCAAACAAATCATCAACCAGTCTATCGATCAGTTGAATATCCAGCTTCCACCACTGGGAATGGGCAGACAGAGGAAGGATCGATAGCAGTAAATGATCTGTTTACCTTGAGGAGTGGTTGTTCGAGCAGTAGGATATCGTCATGTTTGATACGTGATGACATGATGGATGTCTTGATGAGGATTGCTGGTGACTGAAGTCGGTTTGATAATTGGAAGCCTCTTGCTTGTGGGAGTGGTCATTGGTTGTGTTCTGTTCTGAAGATCCCTCGGCCCAGCTGTCCCGAAGACGAGGGTTCGCTGACTATTAAAGTTTGCACCCTCTCGATCGAATTTAATCATTTTGCACATCCATGACGTCATTCCATTCAACCAGTAAGCGGAGTTCAACACAGCAAGTATTTTAATCATATGAAGACTACTACCACCTAGACAACAAGAATCTTTACCTGGTCACTTCTTCACCTTTCTTTCATTAATCTGCATGTTTCTCTCCCCCTGCTAAGTTTCACAATCACATTTCCCAGTCTCACCCACTTTAGAAGCTAGGCATCTTTTGTGTTTGTTCCAGGATTATGCAAATCTCCAGCTTGAACCTTCTGAACCCAGTTCCAAAAACCAGCTACATCTTTTTCTGGTTGGACCAGACCCATGATGAGGTTGTCAAGTGTCTCACATCGATGGAAACCCATTGATCAATCCCCATCAAATCAATTTAAAAAGAAACATCAATACAACACTTTAAGAGATTCAGAAATTGGATATAACTCCCCTCTTTCCCTGAAAAGAATAATAACATTAATATGGCCAGGCAATTGATCATGTCCCAGTGAAGTCAATTCTGATTTCTAGGAAGTTTATTTGCTTGTGAACAGTTGCTAGTCAAGTTGGATGAATATGTGATCTTGCTTCCACATAAAAGGGAGTCCATTTGCAAACTTCAACACTTTCCTATCAAATCTTCAGTACCAGTGGTTTTCAATAAGGTTTAGTCACTGTTTTTGAAATCAGTGCATACTATGTCATAATTGGGTCCTTGTAGAAAAGATTGACCTGTTGGATCAGCTTCATGAGATGATTATTCGAATATTGGATCTTTTGGTATTTTGTATGGATTGATGATTGATCAACACTTGATTGGACCTCACTTGAATTATGTGAATTGATTGGTTTGGATAACTTTGGCCTGCTGATTTCTCAAAAACAGATCCAGCTTTTAATAATTATGAGTTGAGATCAAACAGTCCCTTTGGCATTTCGAGTTACTGATTATTGATGTAACAAGGATCTCAAACCAATTTCAGTCAGGTCGATTTCTTCAAGCTCCGTTACATCTCCACTGGAGACCTGGTCGTCGGTGGAACACTTCAATTTACCCTTCAAATCGGACGACCAAGGTCGGAGTCTGTCGGAGTAGCAGGTGCCACATGAGAGGCTCAAGCCAGTGTGAATTTGATCAGCCAGGCTATCGATTTACATAGCAGTGCACATCTGCGAGTCTTTTTAGTCTCGATCGTTTTCTTTTTTCACGCACTACTTGAATAGACTCTGCTGAAAAAAAAAAAAGAAGAAAAGGAAAAGAGACACAGCACTTTAGCAGGCATGTCATCATCAACCAGCCATCACCAGTCAAGCCAACAACTCAACCAACTCCATCAACATCAACAGCAACAACAGAATGATAACCAACAACAAACCACAAACCAATTCAACTTACCACCCCAACAAACCTCAGACAAACCCCAGCTCAACCAGCAACAGGCAAATAAAACCACCAAGCCAATCACCAAGAGAAGGAAGGTAGCCAAGGTACGCCCCATCTTGCACTCCATTCCACAAAGAACCAATTAAAATAACAGGAACTGATTACTTCATGTTTGTTTTCACAGGCATGTCTGTTCTGCAAACGATCGCATATGACCTGCGATGACTCTCGTCCGTGTCGAAGATGGTCGGTTCACATTTGTCCTTTTTTTCAAAAAAAAAAAAGAACAAATTTCATTAAACTGACTCTTATAAAAATTTGCGTCATTTTTCAAAGTATCAAACGAGAGATCGGACATCTCTGCTGTGATGAACCACCATCAGCCAGTGAAAGATCTAACCTACTAGCAACCATCAAGAACCATTCCCAACCAACCCAAACTCAACAGCCATCCCAAAACCAATCAGCATCAGCATCAGCATCTCATCATCAACAACAGCAACAGCAACAGCAGCCTCATCCTACCTCTCAAAACCAATTCAAGAAACAAACCGATCAGCAACCATCGATCAGCAAATCTTCACTCATCGATCCTTCCATCTCAGCCCCTAACCAACTTAACCCCCTCACACCAGCAATAGACTCTCTCAACAACCCAATCAATCAACTTTCTCATTTCACCACTCTCTTCAGCCCTCGCCTCTTGCTCAGTCCCTCATCCACAGACTCGCCCCTCACCAACCCACTCGATCAATCACTAGGTTTGTCTGAATCCTCGCTTCACTCGAGATCATATCAATCTGATCAATCTGATATCTCTCACAGCTTTCTTTCGAGGCTCTAGCGGACTTAAGTTATTTGAAGAACCAGCCGAATCTACTCATGATGACCCAGAACAATACCTCAAGAATGGTCTACTTGAGGATAGTAAGGGGACCCCAGACTCGAAGGCAGAGGGATCGATGATCGACTTGAGCGAGTTCTTGAACACCTATCCCGGCCTATTCTCAGAGAACATCGGAAATCTTAATCAAAGCCTTCACAGGTCTTCGGCAACTAACCAGGAACTTCTAGAGACCACCGGAATCTCCCCGGCTGCGATCAACTACGACCAGCTCATCTCGAGCGCAAACGAGCCTTCTTCGCTCACGTTCCTCAGTCATTTGGACTCAGTCCAGCCACTGGATCTCCAACAGAACACGGAAGACCGCTTAGGACAAATCATCCGCAGCTCTGGCCTCGAAGCGTTTGATTATTCCGAGTCGGAAAGAGAGACGACCCAATGGATCGATACCAAGTTGAGCAGTCATATCCACCTGCTTTGGTGCTTCAATTAAATGTCTGACTGTCTAACTCATATCGTTCATTCAGAATACCAGAGCCTTCAAAGAGCAAGATGCAGGCACTCTGGAACGAATCTCAAAACCTCTTTTCTGTGGGTTTTACAAAGTCCTCCGATCACATTTGCTATCGGGTCTTGATAAACACTAATACGTATCAATACATAGTCGATCACCAGTCAACAGAGCGCAGAAGATTCGATCGAAGCTGAATATCAATTCCAGCGGAACTTGGTGACCTGTCTCCCAATCTTGGATACCTTACCTATCCCAGGGTGCATATGGAGACGGAGTGGCGAGATCTATAAGACCAATGAACAGTTCAATCATCTCGTTGGGATCCATTCATTCCCCTGTTTCTCTCTCCTATCTTCTTTTGATAGTCATCATCATAAGAAATCTGGTGAATTCATTAAGATTCATCAGCTCTGGGACATCGATAGTGGATTAAACTTTTTGGAAAAATTCAATCGGATCGCCTTAGATGAAGGTCAAAAAGTAGGCACAATAACCCCTCCCCCTACGCTAGATGATCTGAGGATTAGTTTGGTCCAACATATCTGACCCCTCCTTCCGACCCGTTTGTTTGCCCTTTGATTAGGCCGTCTTAACTTCGTGTGTTTTGTACCGCTTCAAAGAAAAAGAAGAGGTCCAGCCGACGACGAGGAAGGCAGAAGAACCAAGACCACCCTCGCGATCTTCATCAAGCTCCCGATCGACGACCCACGAGGCCAAACAAAATCCAGACCAACCATCCGTCTCCAATCAACGTCAACCAGAAGGAGAAAACGGCCATCAGAAGACCGACGAACTCGATGGACCTAAGTTGATCTCTGCCACTTCTTCTGATCCTCTGATCGATCCTACTCCTCCTTTGCTTCTTCTTAAGGAGACCACCGAGCAACCCTACGAATTCGTCGATGCTGGAAAGACGTTCGTCGTCGCTGATCGGGTCAATTGTACCTTCTCCTTCACCGTTCGGAGGGATTCATTCGGCTTGCCTTGTCTCATCATTGGTAATTTCTTGTGAGCTTTACACACTTTCTCTCTCCCACATCCTTTTTGCTCTCCAACTTGCTCACCTGTCCAATTATTAAAAATGTTGGATCTGTTTTGTTACTTCTCAAGACCTTCATGAACAATCTCTCCTTCAAAGAATGAAGATCTGTCTCAACCTTTAGATTCTATTCTTATCTTTGTTTGAGAACCAAAAACAAAAACAAGTATTTTTTTCTTGTCTCTATTTTTCTCAGTCTTGCGGTGAGTACATATACACATATATATATATACTCTTCGTTCTTCAACCTTGACACATTCTTGATATCACAAAACTGCAAGATAAAAATTCTTTTCTTATTAAAGATAGATTATATTCAATTTCATTCTTTAGAATTTGTCTTGTTCACCTAGGCAACCCCTCTTTCTTCCACCCCCCCCCCTTCTACCTGTGTATATTTTTTCTTGTGGCTCTTTGCAAGTAGACCATTCAGAGTCATCCAGGGAGGGGGTGTTGTCTTATGTGTTGGTTTTTATAACTCTCCTATATCATCATTCAATCTCATCAACTGCCAAACAACATACTACTTGAAATATGTTAAAAAAAGATAAAAGGAGAAAGAAACGCAAGTCACTTTCCTTACATTCTTCTTTCTTCATCATGCCCAGTTCTGTCTTTTTCTTTTCTTCTTCATCTCATTCTATCACTACATCTCTTTCAAAGAAAAGCCACACAAGTGCATAGACAAGAGAAAAAAACACAGAAAACAAAGGAACAAGGAATCTCTTATACTTACTTCTAAGAGATGAAAAAAAGAAGTGATTCATATCCATCATCAACAACTTCTTTTCTTCTTGTCATTCTCCTTCTACCATACAAGCCAAAACCTGGTGTTCTTGAGTTTTAAACGTATAACACCAAAAATAGAAGTCGGTACATAGACATGAAATGGTCTTATAGTCTATAGATGTGTATCTGACTCCTCAAGTCTGCATTACAGCTATATAAAATAAATTGATCTGGTCCTTGCCAAGTTACAAAAGTATACAAGCTGATCCACAAACATGTAGTCTTTCTCATAAATGTATAACCTGTTTTTTCTTTTTTGGGGAGGGGGAGGGGGGTTAAATTGGTACTCTTTTTGTCTATCTCAATTCTCTACTTGGATCATTTTTCTTGTAGCTTACAAACTCACCCATAGATAAAGAGATTCATTTACATATAACCAACAATTTATACTGATGGATAATTGGAAATCCCCTCACAAATTATAAGTGGACCCCTGTGATACACCAACCCTGACCAAATGCCCATAACCCCAAGAGCTCAAGTGTCATCAAATGACCAATTTATTCATGATATATAATAGGCATTCCATGAGGTGCTTGAGAGTTTGTTTGGGCTTGTGAGGACATGGATTGTAATAGAATTGACAATATAGAATGTGTGACCCAAGTTGATAAGGCAGGTATAGTACCAATCAAACTTGGTGAGGGGGATTTACTTCTTGTAGCATCTTGGGAAAGTTCTGGAGAAGTTGGACTGGATCATCATCTAATGGTTGTGGGTATGATGATGTTGTAGGAGTTCTCTGGTTGGTTTCTGAGATCAAGTAGGGTGGCTAGTCTGCTGGGTTTCTTCATTCTACATGCTATATGTCTTGGGATTCTTATGAATTGTTGCAGTCAAGTGGGTGTGCTTCTCTGGACAGTCAGAACAAGATTCATCCAACAAAAAAATGTGCCATCCAAAACCAATTGAACTTTGTGTAAGCCTTTGATCAATTATTAGATGTAGAAGCACAAAGATTTTGTCTGATTGTTTTTGTGGTCATATTCAACATTGAGATCTGAAGCAGAAGGAAAGAAAATCTACTATCAGAGTCTGAAGTGCAACTGCCAGCAAAACAGTTCAATCAGAAGCCTGTTTGTAGACTCACAATTTCTGAATGCCATTCTTTTTTTTTTTTGATGTATAGACAATGAAGACTTCACATTATAGCCTTCTCAGCTCCCATTTGCACAAATCACAAAGACTTGAACTGTCCTCTTGTGGTAAGGTCCACTACAATGTGCCCAAAATAGGCATCAGAGACTTTTAAAATTCATAAGTAATTTTCAAAGGGTTTGATGTGGCTTAGTTGCTTGATTATTTAATGGTTGTCAGGTTGAGATGTTGTTGAATTTGCCATACTGTTTGCAGAGTGTTCCCAGCACACCACCAGCCAACATTCATGCAAATAGAGGGTGCAGTAATGACCAAGGGCAATGTTCAGAAATGTACCCTGAACCTGCATGGCTGGTGGTGGCTGGTGGTGCAGAGAGTGTGTTCTGAAGTGAGGCAGGTATCCCCCAAAAGGTGACAAAGTGCTGTCTCAATTGTTGCAGCTCCAAGACAAGATGAATCTCAGCCGGTGTGGTGAGATTGAACAAACCCATAGCCATAAATAAAAACACTTTATTACAAATAAATAGTAATTAAAATATTAGAGGATAAGGGGTAGATTAGGAAATAAACCACATAAATATAACTGGGCTAAATTGTAGTGGAATTAAATCACGAACTAGGCCTAAGATATTTAATTACCCATGGATAAAAATTATACAAATAATCTGTAGAACTATATTTCATCTAGCTTAGACTGATAAGTCAAGCTACTGATCAGAAAGTGTTTCACAGACTAGTTCTAGAAAATAGCTCTGATACTAATTAGTCTAAGATTACCATTCTCATAGCAATTAATCTAAGAATAGGCCTCAAATAGTAGATTTACAACCTCTTGTATTAGAAAGGCACTTAGAGATTAATTCATATCAGATTAGCCCATCTCAGAGTAGTACAATCCACTCTAGAAGTACCCTTCTCAGATGCACTAGTTGTTCAGGCCAAAATCTCATGTACAGCAGAACCATTTGTCTATAAATAGAGGCTCTTCTGGCCCAGGTTTTCCTCTTCCCTCCTGATGTTTGCACCAGAGAAGTAATTAGAGATATTACTTAGCACTCATCAAAACCAGATGCTAGCTACAGAATAGTAATAAAAGATATTACTCAGCTTTCATCACCCTTTGATTAAGAGATCCAGAGATTTTAGAGCCCCTGAACTTCCCTTATCTCATATTTTGGTCATAGACAAGTAATTCAGAGATATTGCTTAGCCATCCTCAATTCCCTTGCAACAGAAATCAGAGAAATAAGTGTACCCTTTATCAGAGCCCAGAGAGACCAGAGAACCAGAGAGAATTTATATTAGAGAAACCCTTCAGAAACCCTTACTCCCCAGAAAACCCCATAAACTCCTTACCTCTTCAACAGGTATTATTAAGCAACAATAACAGTAGTATCAACACTAAGATAAATTTAGAAATAAGCCACACTCTTATTTTTCTTAGTGTAACTTTCCCACAAGCTAGACAGGAGGGCAGTCTCACCCACACACAGATACTAATTCTACTATTCCATAGTCTTATTAGCTATTTTATCCCCTCCAAGCTCTTTACTCACTTGCTGAGCAGTTCCACACCGGTTTGGGTATTTAAACCACCAAGTCCAAAAAACAGATCCATTCACCTCCAGTGTAAACTTCTCAGCAAGGAGTTATCTAACCAAAATCTTTTCTGATTTTTCTGACACACCTGTGTTCAAGCCCCATCACCTGCTCCCATTGCATCAAACAAAACATTGCACAGTCATGAAGTGTTTCACAATCTCTCTGGTCATGTTTGGAAACGTGCCCCTTAGTGCATCATCTGCCATCAAAATAAGCAACATAGAAAAACCTGAACCCCAAGTCAAGAACATCCCAATCCTTGAGCCTGACAAGGATAATGATAGAAGTTGCCCGCAGTGTGGTCAAAGCACTGTCCCAGATGGGGCTTATGATCAAACAGATTGCAAGTGTGATATTTGCCAATGAAAGTGTGTTGCAAAATGATGACTGGCCCACTACACAAAAATCCATAACTCCATCCCCCCCGCAAAAAAAAAACTATCACAACCCCCACAAAAAAAATCTATCACAATCAAATCTGCAAAAAGCCAAAAAAAACATGACTGTAGAGAAAACTAAGTCCTCTCCAAAAGATAACTGAATCAAGAAAGGAGGCCTTTCATCCACTGCAACAGAATCACCTCTTGCTGCTGCTTGGAACATCCCTTTTGTGAAAGGCTTTCTAAAACTGGATACATAACTGGGTTGTCTTGAAAGAAAAACTGTTGCAAGTGTTAGTATTCATGTTTTTCAGCTCTATCTTTTTTAATTTTCACATTATTAGCATATCTCATGGCGTACTCTTTAGTCATTATTAGAATATGTTTATACTCAGTTTGTCACATATTTAGCTTGTTTCCTTTGATTATAATTTCAAGCTTGAGTTTGTTCATCCAGAAATACAAACTCATCAAGTCTTTCTCTCTTTGAAACTTTCACTCATCCATTGACAGCAAGGAAACATACATAGCCGTTTAACTATTTCAATATTAATCATTTTATCACAAAATCGGTCTCATGATAGTGAATCCAGTATCTTTGAGAGATGAAGAAGAAAGAATTCCTTTGTTTCATAGACATAACAAAACATCTG